CGATGGCCGAAGCTCCCACATCGAAAACTACCGTAACCCAGAAAAAATATTCCAGAAATATTATCTCGATTTTATTTGCTTCTTGCCGAGTTTTCTGTTATTTTTTTCCAAAACAGTCGGAAGATAAAAATTTTTGATAGTGAAAAAATGAGTAAAACCACATGAAAATTGAGAAAAAAATCCGGAAAATGAAAATATTTTTAGGTTGCGGTAGTTGTCGTTGTGATACCTTCGGCCACGGTCACCGGCGTTTCACTTCCACAGCTCCGAGTTCGTGGTACCATAATAAACAACAGGAATAATCAAAAATAACTGTATAAATTAATTCAGGAAGTTTTCCATGGTTACAAACATCGTTATAACAAAAAATTGAATATTTAGTAGATCGAAACCTGTGAAGCAGTACTATAAAAGTAAAGTAGGTCATATAGAAAATGGAAACTCGAATTGTGCGGAACTTGCGTGAAACACTTGCCACGGCAGAAGCAAATTCTGAAAATCTGTAAAAAGTGAGGTTCTATGAGATCCCATACTACGCACACACATTATTCAATAACTACTCAAGGAACCTACCGTGATCATTTCATCCGATTCTCATCTCTTCATCAAACGTTGTTCCGAAGCAAATTCAGACCTTCTTCTTCAAAACAATGAGTGCTTCGAATCCGAATCCACCACCATCTTCCACTGCTTCACTCCATCCACAACTCCCTCGGCAAATGCTCCTTCTCCAGCAACTCAGACTCCGCCCCCACCGGCAGCACCATCGACGATTCCAAGCGCAACACTACCAACAGCAAAAGTGAGTCTTGAATTCCTTCATTAAAAAAATCAGAAAAATATTTCAGCCAACTGCTGACACAAATAAAGAAGGAGCTTCTGATTTCAACCAATGGAACATCACTGAGGCAGACGAAAAAGGATTCAAACTTTCGCAATTGATCAAAAAGTTGTTAAAACAAGGAACCGCAAAAGCTGTTCCATTTGAAGTGAGCAATATTTTTTGGTACGAGATTAACTATATTCTCTTTAGCAAAAAGATGTCCACATACTCCTAAACCGTGTCTTCAAGTACTACACATGTCCACCGGATAAAAAAGGAAGTAGTACTGGTCCACCACCTCCTCCGCCTGGATCCGCATCTGCTACGACATCCGTGACACCTCCGAAATCACCGGCTCAACCGCTTCTCGAACTACAAGCACCTATCAATATTTGTGGAGACACTCATGGCCAGTATAATGATTTACTTCGTATTTTCAATGTAAGATTTTTTCTTCAAACCGTAAAACATGTATTAGAAGGATCCCCACACTGTCAAGTTTGAGCTCATGCATCTCAATTCCTATGCAAGATATCAAAAATGTGTCAACTAATAAAAACTTCTGTTATTATGATGAAGATTTTATCAGTGGACAACTTTGTTATATCTCCGACAGAAACCGAGAAAAAACGGCTCAAAGTTTAAGGATAGGGGAGCGCTTCTATTACAGTTTTTATTGAGTTTTCAGTCTTGTGGAGCACCAACAAAAAATCAATATCTGTTCCTGGGCGACTATATTGATCGAGGTCGTCATTCGTTGGAAGTCATCATTTTGCTTTTTGCTCTCAAGTTGGCAGTACCAAAGAAAGTTCATTTATTAAGAGGAAACCACGAATTGAAAGCTATCAACAAGTTAGTTTGCAATGGTTTTAAGAATATCTGCACAATTCTTTTTTAGAAACTACGGATTCTACGGAGAACTTAAAACAAGATTCCGTTGTGGTGCTGGAACCAATACTGGTGTTGCGGAGAGACTCTATGCACATTTCAATCAAGTATTTTCCTATATGCCATTGGCTGCAATTGTCTCAAAACGAATTCTGTGTATGCATGGAGGTATACTGTACTTTATAGAGAACTATCGAACTATGTCAGCAATTCAGGAATTTCCCCTCATCTCCGAACTCTTGATGACATTCGTGGAATCGGTTTACCATTGGAAACAGCGAAATCGAATCCACTAGCCTGTGACCTACTTTGGGCGGATCCTGAGAAGACCGCGAACGGTTTTGAGCCAAATAAGATTCGTGCTATTTCTCATATTTTTGGAAAGAAAGAAGTCGATGATTTGTGTAAACGATTAGATATCGATTTGATTGTCAGAGCGCATCAGGTATCCATTTTACAATTTTCTCAAAAAATGTTGAATTTTTGAAAATCTGAAATTAGGGGATTCTAACACTTCAAAAGTCTAGAAATTCGAATAACAAGAATTCTGAAATTCTGAAATTTCGAAAGCCTAAAAATCTGAAAGTCCGATAATCCGAATTTCTTAATTTCTGAAAATCTGAAATTCTGCAGTTTCAAGTCTAAAAGTCTGATTATATCCTGAAATTCTGAAATTTTGAAAGTGTAAAAATCTGAAACTCAAAAATTCTGAAATTTTGAAATACTGAAAAACTGCCAATCTGAAAATCGGAAACTCCGAAATTTGGAAAATCTAAAGTTTGAAATTCAGAAAATCTGATACTCTGAGATACAGGAATGTAGAAACTCGGAAAGTCTGATATTCTGAAAGTCCAAAAATCAGAGATTCTGAAATTCTGAAATGTTGAGATTCGGAAATTTCGAATGTCCAAATCTGAACATATGAAATTATGAGATTTTGAAAGTCTGGTAATCTGAAATTCGAAAATTCTGAAAATCTGATATTCTGAATTTCGAAATTTCGAAATTCCGAAGTTCTGGAATTCTAGAACTTCAAAAGTCAAAAATATCACATTCAGAAATTTCGAAATTTTTAAATTGTGAAGTTTCAAAAGCTAAACTCTGAAATTCTGAAAATCGTCCAAGAATATCCTTTGAGGTTGTCGAGTACGGCTATGCCTTCTTTGCCGATCGTCGTCTTATCACTGTCTTCTCGGCGTCTCGTTATCAAGATGAACTACATAACTATGCGGCAGTGGTGATTGTGAATCGCATGCTCGAGTTGAGCTTCGTACAATTGAAGCCAGAAGAATTTGAAAAACGACGAGAGGAACAGGATAAGGCGGGTGGAGCAAATCAGGAGCAAGTCACTGCTAATACAAATTGAAGAAAACTGAGCAGAGACGAAGGAAAAAAGAGAACTGTTGTGCCCCTTTTTGTCAGTATTTTTTCTAGAATAAAAAGAGAGAGTTCTGTTATGTTGATACAAAAGAATCGGAGCTGTGGAAAAGAGAAGCTGGTTGCCGTGGCCGAAGTAAACGACATCTTCGGTAACCTAAAAATATTTTTATTTTCCGGATTTAATATCTCTATTTTCTGCCAATTTTTCCCTATAAAAATGAATTTCTTTCCGACTTGTTTAAAATTTGGGAAAAATAACAGAAAACTCATCAACAAGCAGTGAAAATCGGGATAATAACTCGGCTGTCGGCTTGCAACTTCTGGCCGGAAGTTGAGGGGGGTTCGGCTTTTGGACGGATCTTGGACAACTTTTGGTCAGAAGTTGCAAACTGATACTGGGTGCGGCAGAATTTATTTACATAAACAAATAATAATAATTTATTTGATTCAGGACTATCAGTCACTTATAAAATCAATGTGTTACAAATTAAACAAATGAGTTAGAAGTTATGTTCGTCTAGGAACAGGAAAGAAGATAAATTAACATGACTTAAATTAGTTTTAAAAGAGATGGATGAAATCAAGGGTGGGAACACGGTTTTTGGAAGCGAGTTCCAGCAGGATAAAATACAGAGAGTAAAAAATTGGGTAGAACGTTTTGAAGCATTTTTTAATGTACAGCGAATGTAAAATGGGTGGCGTCTTAGATGATTATGATGAAACGGGACAATGAATAGATTATGGGCAATTGCAATTTCCCGGGAAACTAGAGTTTTATACATAAAAACTAGATCGGATAGAATCGTTGAAACTGTCTTCTAAGTAATCGAACAATTTTGAAACTTTGCAGATAGATTATTCCACTGCTGAAATAGAAATATAACTTTGATTTTTGGAATTATCTTTTTTATCTTTCCAGCTAGGATCGGAAAAGTGGTTGATTACATAACTCTTGAGGCACACAGTTTTTTTCAAGTTCACTCTGTTATATCATTATTACTGGCTATGGCGACACTTCAAAACTTTGATTTTTAGAAAATGTTAATCCTTTTTATTAAGTTCATGAAACATGAGATTGTATGATTTGGATGGTCTATGAAACATTAAGAGTTAAAACTTGCATAGGCAGTTTGATGAATCTGTTTTACATACAAAAAACCTTTTCAAAGAGGCTGGAATTCGAGATGAATTTTACTAGAATCAGGAAAACTATATTTCGCGATAGGATATAACAAGTTGATCAGAATTATTTACCTTACCCAGAGTCATATCTCAGCAAATTTTCGGCACGCTAGGGCACAGAGGGGCACAGGATCCGCATCCAAACGGCACGGTGCCGCGTTCAAAGTGACCGTGGAACACCGCACCCGTGCCCCAAGCGGGCCGCTACCGTGCCCCTTCCGTGCCGTTACCGTTTTTGTCTTTTTCGTTCGAAAGTCATGAAATGTATCACTTTTTAGTTTTCAGACAGCAGCCGTAGCAGATGTCGCGTTGGAAAAGACACCGGAAGAAAATCGGTGAGTTGGGAAATTCTCAAGTAATAGTATTATCGAAAATCTTTTCAGTTATGGAGTCGAGAAATGAAGATTTCGAACTGTGGAAGGATACTGAAAAAGAAGAAAGTAGTTTACGACCAGCAACTAGGAATACTACAAATGAAATGAGTAAGTGACCGAGATGTGAAAAACTGAACTATTTTGAAATGACAGTGTTAAAAATTTTTTGAAAGGTTATTGGTAGTTCCTATGTTTTCAGGTCAGGTGGATTTCGGTGAAAACTTGGAAGATGTCGATTATGATTGTCTCTTACCAATGATGAACTACGAAAGAAGAGAAATTCAAGACTCTGATATTCGAATTTCCTGCTACATCAATTTGTGCTCTCAGAGGGACTATCAGAAAACTCTATGGATCGACTCGATGGAATGATGTCGGTTATTAATGGAGCACCACCGCCCGTATCATTGGGTGTTATCAAGCGAGAGTTGGAGCTGCTCCGTAACGAGGTTATTCTTGAAATGAACTTTTATTGTCATTGTTGTGGACGGAAGAAGAAAGGAAAACGAGACGAGTGCGAAGCATGCCTGAAACCGACAAGCAGACTTTCTGATACCGTAACAATGATTATATGTAATGTTCAATGGCAATTAATGAATCTTCTAAAATATCACGGGAAAGAAATACTCTACGCGCATAAGAGGATTCATGAAGGACAAGAAACTTTCCACGGTACAGACGTTAGACGTTTCTCCGGCTACCGTTGTGAAATGGAAACAAGAACGGAATATCAGAAGGGATTGATCAATCTGATTTACACACTTAGCTCCGACGGAGCAAGGTTCAAAAGGCTTTCGAAACGCGAAGCGACTCCTGTTTTATTGCGAGTGGAAGGTGTGGATGTCGAAACCAGAACTGGAGGGAAATGTCTTACTCTCGTTTCAATGACATACTCTGAAGGAGGAGTTCAGAAAAACATGCTGGATGCCTTTGTTAGGAGCAGCTTGGACATTTTGAAGGATATGGATTTACGCGTGGAAATGGATGGAACTACGATCACTTTCAGAATGACTTTAATGTCATACATTTGTGACATGAAGGTAACTTGTAACAATACAAAAAAGGGAACATAGAATGATTTCAGGAATCCTACGCAATCTCTGGACTTCCAAATTGGTACATTATAGAAGGATGCTCGAAATGCTCAATTACCGGAGTAAAAATTGGGAATGGAAAAGTATCGTTCAATGAGATGTATACGTCTCCACAGAGAACAGATGACTCAATTTTGTATAGTGCTGAAAAGGGAATCCGTGGATACACAAAACCAGGAGTGCCTGTTGTGTTCCAGTTTATAAATCCTTCGAAGTTAACGTTAGATCCTTTCCATTTGAGAGGTGCTGGTGTTTGCAAGTTCGACGAACCAGAATATCGGTCAGAGTTCGGAAATTCGAGATTGTTGAAGAACTATGCCACCGAAGAGGCTAAAAAGAAGAAATTCGTCCAAGTTTCGTCTGCTAAAAAATCGTTCAAAACTAATACGTTTCGAGCTCAATTTAAAAATGCTCTGTAAGTTATCTGTAATCTTTTCATTTAACAAATAAATTATTTTCAGCAAAGAGCTTCGTCTAGGAACATTCATAATTGCCGATGGATCTTCACAAGGATACTTCGCAAGAAGAAAAGTGAGTTTCCATCCAATTTGTTTCGACAATAATCTTTAACATTCTTTCAGAGACACATTGCCAAGAGCAAGGCCCACGAAGCTGGAGAAGAGGAGGAGGAATCTTAATGTCGTCGCCATCTTCAACACAATCTGCGCAATATTCTCTACATTTTTGAATTTTCTCATCGTTGTTTTTTTGTTGTTGTTGCATTCCTAATCAAATAAACTGTTTGATTTAAGAAAAATCGATCAAATTCACCCGATTTCGAGAAAAAAATTCAAATAACGGCACACATGAGCACGGATACGGCACGCAAAATGCATGCGTGCCCCGACCCCCCGGGCACGATTACCGCGTTGCAGCGGCACCGGTGCCCCAAGTAGCGGCACATGTGCCAAAAATTTGCTGAGTATTGAAAAGGAAACGTAATGTTCACCACTTGTGAAAAACCGATTGCTACTCATTACAAGGAAATTCTAGACGAAAACTGTTTGTTTTTCAGAAACTACAGTTTTACTGTTTACATTAAAATATGTTTCCAAAGAATTTTCCTTTCAGTTTACTCACAGACTCCTCTCAAACTCAAAGAAAAACGTCCAAATAAAATAGATACCGTAAACACTCTTATAGAACGCCTCCCAAATCGTCAATTTTGAGCTCATGAATCTCGTTTTCTGTGAGAGATATCAAAAAGTGGTTAACTAATAAAATGTTGCTGATATCATGATAAACATTTTATTAGTTGACAACTTTCTTATATCTTTCAAAAGAAGTGAGATATATAGGCTCAAAGTAAACGGTCCGGGTGGCGTTCTATTAGAGTGTTACGGTAATCTGAAGTTATGAATTCAAACGGTTGTAACTTTTGAATGGGTTTTCGAGATTTTTTCAAAACTTGGTAGATATATTTAAAAATTTCTTTGATTATCAACTGCAAGTTGTTTGGGCACTGTATGACAAATAACAATATGGTTGTGCTATGCACAATGCACCCGCTGCATCCTGTAGCTGTTCAGAAATTGGTCGGAAGTTGTCCGGATTTTGGCCGGAACTTGAGCGCGGTGCGTGTCGTGAAGCGTGCAGAAGGTTCATTTCAATTCTTCTATTTTTTTTTTCTTTCGTTTTCGCCTATTTTCTTTGTATTTAAGCTAATTCAGTGTTCTTTTCGATTTTCAAAAAATTTCAAGTGTTAATATATCTGAGATAAAGGAGTGTATCTCGCTGAAATTTCGAAAAAACCTTGGAAAAATGCCCAGACGAGTCCAATCAAGGAAAAGACTTCGTAAGTTAGAAAACATCCATATATATATATGTATATTAAATATTGATTATTTCAGAAGCCGGATGGGAATCCGCTTTTCTACCAAAAAAGAATAAAATTAGGAGAAGAAGAAGAAAAGGAAGAAGGAAATGAAGAATCTTCAATTGGCGAAAACAGAGAAAATGGGGGAAATGATGCGAAACGGTGAGCTAACGAAATGGAGAGTTTGGGATTCTCAAGAAGATTTTGAAGGTTAGAATTTTGTAAAACTTGGAAATACACAGTTGCTCTTTTAGAGACTACAATAGATGAAGATGAAAGTCGAGATGAGATTAACTTGGAAAATATGGAACAAGGCATTTGTACGTGTTGATTTCAAGTATGAGTGTTCGAAGATGAATTCTCACGAAACGGAATTCTCACGGAATTCTCACGAAACGAACTCTCGAAGGAGTCATGTTATCGAGCCAATTGACGAATTTCCGAGAATCGATATCATGCACATTTACTACAAAACAGTCTTATTGGAGACTGTGCCTTCTCTCACAAGGGAAGTGTTTTCAGACGGGGGTTGAGAATTTGCTCAAAATTTTAGTACTTATAGTTTGAGACTCCCTCTACACGATGTCAGAAATATCTCGTCCCCGGATTCACCAGGAAGCTTAAAATCTTCGTCTGAAATTTTTTTACCGACTTCGCGCTCTACCTTTCTCCTCTATCCCCCTCCCTCCTCTACGCCATCCGCGCCAGAGGAAAATGTCGGCTGTGTGGCGTTGTGGTAAGAGGGTGACTTATTAGGAGTGAATATGCTGTTTCGAACCCCGTTGTGGTAAAACTTTTTTTGCTTTTTTCGAAACGAATTTTTGATTTCCAGTTTGGCCTTCTAGACACTTTATGATACAATTTGATGAATTTTCAAAATTTTCAAAGTAGAAAGAAGATTTTTATGAGAACTTGATGAAAAATTTATTGATGATCTTTTTGACCGGTTCTTACATTATCCTATAGTTAAAAAACGAAAGTTCTACCCTCTGGAAACTTCTCAATTCTACCCTTTTCGAAATGTAGTACTTCTAAATCGATCAAATATAACTTTCGAACCTCTTTCTATAGATTCCAGTCAATTTCCAGCAATATTTGAGAAGCTAGGGGTTGTCAAGGTTCTAGCAATTACGACTCTTCGGAAATTTTTTGAGCCCAAAAGCGAAATTGGGATGTCAAATATTGTGAGAACGCTATTTTCATCGTTTCTGAATAACTGGGACTTTTTTTGGAACTTTTTAAAAAAATTTCAAAAAATTACTTTTGAAGTGTATTTTTCAAAAATTTTCAACAAATTTTTTTTTTGAAATTGTTCAAAAACTATTCTAGATGATAGAGAAATGTTCAAAAATGAGGTTCGCATTTGAGAACATCATGAAAAACAAGTTTAAAGCTCGGAAAATGAACATTTTTGGTCAAAATTTAGCACTGAAAACACTTTGAGAGCCCATATTTCGATTCTTATTGGATTCGGGGATGAGATATTGCTGACATCGTTTTCAGCATGTTCGAAAGTACCTTTTCACAAATTTTGAGCAAATTCTCAACCCCCGTCTGAAAACACTTCCCTTGTCAGATGACAAATTTTTTGACACGAGTATTTAAAAATGTGAGTTTGAAGTCGAAAAAGTTTTGGAAATATTTACTTTCTTATAGGCGCTGAACCCACCATATCACATTTGGAATTACAGCTACCGACCAAAGTGCGTTAGATCTACGGATAAACATTTTCAGCTACTACCTGAAAAAGTTTCAGATACTCTGCTCAGTGAGAATCTAAATAGCAAATCAATCTTACAACTTGTGTTCAGATTTTTCATACGATGTAGTTGGAGTGTTTCTTCCTGATCATCTGTTATACGGAAAAATCAGCGAAAATGAGAGGTAACTTTATTTATAAATATTCGTAATATTCACTCTTTTTTCAGTTTTCTCAAAATTATTTCTGGTGACCCAATGAAAGAAATCCAAAGAAGACGAGATAAACCGGAAAACGTGGCCGAAACCAGTAAATCAAGTATTGGGCATATGCTGTACGTTTGATCACCTTTGTTGGATAACAATAACAATATTTCAGCAACTATCTTCGCGAATACCACTTCTGTTTGGAAAGTGGAAAACTTTTGAACTGCAAGGTAAGCTCGCTAACCTTATTTTGCCTTATCTATGTAACTTCTTACAGAAGAGATCCACCTGCTCGCCACATCTTACCTGGAGAGATATGAAGTCGTTCCGAGACTATTGCAGAGAAAATTCAAGAGACCCAGATGATTACGACCTAAAGGATATTGTAGGATTGTAAGGAAATAGTTATACAAGCGAGTATTCCTCATCTGAATCCTTTCAGCTCAAAAAACCACTCCAAGAACAACCCGAGCAGCTACAACGGTCCTCCAATTCTACCAAAATCATCATAATTATAGCTAAAAATTTTGTGTTGCTTCCACTTTTACTTGTTTCTCACATTAATTGTTGATTTTGTTGTAATAATAAACTTTTGGGTAATTTGCTTCCGAGTTAAAAATATGACAAAATATACAAAAACAGGTCGGAAGTAGGTCGGAAGAAAATCGGAAATGGGTCGGAAGCTCGCCGGAAGCTTGTCGGATTTTGGTCGGCTTCCGATAATGTCTTTGCCGGAATCTGACCAACTTCCGTCTAGAAGCCGACCAGCCTCCGGCCAGAAGTTACCGGCGACGCCCGAGAAGTCCTTAAATGAAAATATTTTCAGGTAACGGTAGTTGTCGTTGCGAGACGGTAGCGAATACCTTAAAAGCGCATTTAAATGTGCAAGTATTTTAAAAAACTGTTTTCTGACCTATTTATTTCGATTTTTCTACAAATTTCATCAACTTTTTTCACAACCCTGGAATTTTCAGCAGCAACTCGCATTGAAATCAAACGATAATAATAATCCAGAAACATTGTTTGTACCCGAACACCATACCCACAAAAAGGCGTGACCCTTTGAAGATTTGTTCTGTTTTTTTTCCAGATTCAAGCACCATTCAGTTGAGTGTTTTTTACTTTGCTTCCTCTTCTGAAACATCCAGAAGACGTCACCACCTTCAAATCCCCTTTTCTTCCACTACTTCTATTTTATCTTTTTCATTATTTTTTATTGCTTTATGGATCAGTTTTCATATATCGTTTATCACATAGTCAACATTTATAATCCTGTATAAACATTTGCAATCATTTTTACGACCTTTGTGATCCGTATCAGACGAATCGTTTATCCTTCGTCTCTCCCCTCGGCTGTCCCATTTTTTTCTTCACATGCTTCTCATCAACATTTCTGCAGTTTCCCCTTTCCCATCTGCTACACAATATAAATTTTGTTCCGTGTGACTTGAACGAGGGGGGGGGCACCTAACAAATCAGTTTGACAGAGAGAGATAAACACAATACGATACGCTCGATTGGCACTTTCGATTAGTTTCTCCGTTAAGGCCAATGAACGAGTTTTTTAGACGTGTATAGAAGGAGAAAATGTGTCGCGGTCGGGCCTTTTTAGATGCCAATCCGTTCTCACTTTTAATCTGTTTTACTACTGTTGTTGTGGTTCCAGAATGCTGATTAAGTGTGAAAATGATTTACATATAGGGTAGGGGAGAGGAAGAGCGAGAGGATTTATCTGAACTCCAAATTTCACATGCCAAGTTTTAAGATTCAAAATACACTTTTCGTTATGGAGGGCTGGATCATGAGCCATTCAGGAACATCATTCTGTACGTTCCAGTGGATACTTGTTTTGTTGATATTTCCGCAAAGTTTACAAGATCATAAAAGATAAACACTCTAAACGAACGACACCCCAAAATTTGAGCCCATATATCTCATTTCCTGTACAAGATATCAAAGAGTAGTCGACTGATAAATTTTTATCATGTTGTCAAAAATAGTTTGCCAGTTTGCCCCATTTTTGATGTCTTTCACAGGAACCGATATAAACTTGCTCAAAATTGAATAATTAAGATGCTCTTCTATTACAGGTTTTAAGGTTTCATGTCACAATCTTCTTCAGAATGAAATTTCAATTCCCAACTCTCTTTCATTTAAAGAAAATAGAAGATCGAAACTTCAATTTCCATTTCATCTAAAAAAGTCGTTTACACACATTAAGCAAGGTGTAAGCTGTAAGATTACATCTCAACATTCCATCTAAGTCATCACTGTTCAAATATTTTAGCCGGTCTTAAAAACTATGAAGAGATGAGGTCAAATGACATTCTTGGGACATTGTGATATGAATATGGAAACAGGTCGATCGGAGGAAACGTGAACGAAACCAAAATACACTAACGGAGAAAATAAGACAGTCGACAATAATCCAGTGATGAGATTAAAATGGTCTGCAACATAGTTTATCGAATGATTAGCATCAAAAGAGTCTAGTGGATTGATATTACGTCAGACAACAAGTACGGATTTCAGTTTTGTACTGAAAATAGACAATGACAAGAAAAACAAATATATCAATTTCGATTTGTCAGTTTCAGCTGTACTTACGAACATTCAAAGTTTGCCGACACCCCACCGTGAGAGAGGCACCGAGTAGTCCAAATTGAAAGGCGTATACCGTATTTCCTTTAATAGAGGTCCATGGGCTTCTGTTTTTCTACCTCCTTCTGGAGGTGGACTAATTTTAGAGAAAACGCTCAAATTAGAGGGTTTTCGGGTTTTAACTGAACTGGAATCGTTATAAAACGACAATAAAGATGATTCAAATGATTCTTAAAAAATTAGTTAGTGGCTATAGAATCCTGTATGTCCCTTTTCCGGAAGAAAATGTTCCAAAAATGGCAAATTTTCCAGATTTTTTACAGAAAAAATGTATCTCCTCTTTCAGTTTTAGACATTTCTAGAAGTTTTATAGCTCAAAAAAACCGCAATAATTTATTCTTCATTTTGTATGGATGAATTTTCAATTCGTCTGACAGAACTTTTTTATAAACAAAAACATAGCAAAAATGCGATTTCGTGCAATTTCGTGTGGTTTTTCGATTATAAAAAAAGTTCTGTTAGACGAATCAAAAATTCATCCATACAAAATGAAGAAATTATTGAGGTTTTTTTGAGCTATAAAACTTCTAGAAATGTCTAAAACTGAAAGAGGAGATACATTTTTTCTGTAAAAAATCTGGAAAATTTGCCATTTTTGGAACATTTTCTTCCGGAAAAGGGCCATACAGGATTCTATAGCCACTAACTAATTTTTAAAGAATCATTTGAACCATCTTGAATCTCCACAAAATCAGATAAAAAATCCTGAAAATGTGGCTTTAGACCTGCAATTGTGATCGCGCCATTTTTTTTCTGTAGATCAAAATTTAATTTGCAGTTCGGAAATGTTTTGTGGGAGACCGTGAATGGAAAATTTTGTGCATGAAATTTTACACATTTTGAAAAACAGCGAAAAAATCTCGAAGAAACAACGATAAAAATTCAGAAAAGCTCCTGGTCGTTTAAAGGGAGGCAACGTTTCACCGGTGGAGGGTCTCGCAGCGCGCCCAAGAACAACCGTAACCCGTCGGTCGAGCCTCAGTTCGCTTCTAAAAATTTGTTTTTTTTGTTTAATTTTTATTTAGAATTCTGATTTATCGTTTCCTAATTTTCAACAGAACCTCGTTAAATTTTCAAAAAATCACATTTTCCAGGTAATATGCGTTACATCTCCGCTTATCTCCTTGCCGTCCTCGGAGGAAACGCCAACCCACATGTGATTCTTTTTTTTGATTTATGAATAAAAACCGGACTTTTAACGCATAAAAGTAATAATACTGTAATATTTTTTTCAGGCTGACGACATCGAAAACATCTTGAGCGCTGTTGGAGTTGATGCTAATGCCGAATCCGTCAATCTTGTTGTCTCCGGACTGGAGGGAAAGAACATTGAGGAACTCATTGCTGCAGGATCAGCAAAGCTCGCTACTGTAAGTTACTATCCGGGAAGGAACGATTTCTTTTTAACAAGCCGGTTGAAAAAAGGTCAAACTCGAGCGGAAGCTTATAAATTTTCGAAAATGCCGTTTTTGTTGTAAGAACTAATTTTTCTGAAACTCGTGATAAATTTTCAGATTTCTGGAGGAGTCGGAGCCGCCTCGTCTGCTGCCCCAGTAACCGGAGGTGCTGCACCAGCCGCTGACAACAAGCCAGCCAAGAAGGAAGAGCCAAAGGAGGAATCTGATGACGATATGGGATTCGGTCTTTTCGACTAAAGCTTATGGATGTTAATAAATTGTTATTATTTTCTTATGTTCCTCTTATACATTTAACAGTTCACAAACTCTTATTGAGTGAAACTCGTTACAAAAAAGTGGGAATACACTAATACACTTCATCTTTATTTATTACCATATGGGAGATAGTTTTTATAACTTGTGCTGTTTTCTCTCAATAAAAGATCTCGTTTCATAAGTCTTGCAAATCAATGGCATCTTATTTTTACTGATTATCTAAAAAAAAACTAAGATTCGAAAAAAATTACACTTTGATGAAAGCAAGGCTGTGCAAAATGGCGGCCGGCACCGGCTTTTATGTGAAAGCCGTGAAAAGTCGAGGCCGGCCGCGTCTAGCCTTATAAAAACGTGTGAAGTGAAAATCTATTAGTTTTTGAAGAATTTCGTTTTTTTTTTGTGTCCCACTTTTAAAAAAAATTTACATTTCTCATGAAACAATTATTTTAAAAAGCCGTGAAAAGCCGCACGGTTAGCCTGGGCCGGCCGCGGCTTTTTCGAATATTTTTTCGGACGCCGCGGCCGGCCGTGGCACACCCTTGGATGAAAGCTACGGCAATTATATAAAATCGGTAAATTAATGAAGTTTTGAAATTCAAATCCTAAATATCCTATGTTTTTTAATTCACAAAATTTTGATTTCTCTTTTAGTTTTTACGATATGTACCTTTAAAGTTAGCCGAAATCCCACTGATGAAAGGGCGCCGGGTGTTCAGTTTTATATATTTTCTACAGGAAATCAAGATTTCTGAAATCCCTGCTTTTCAGTAATGTAAGTTTGTTCTAGTACTTATTGAAAAGTTTAAAAATACGTAATAAATTACTAGTTTCATTATTTTTGGTAGACACTATTACTGATTAGTTCTGTGTCATTCTTGAAATCCAGTCACCTCATGGAAACCTGAAATTCAGAAAACACAGATCAAACCATTCTTTCAGAAACCAAGATCTCTTTTCACTCTCTTCTTCTTCTATTCTTATCTTTATCTCTCTGTTTGTTTTAAAACTATCCGTTTTGCGAAAAACGACCATAAGGAGAAGCCGAAGACGTCACCCTGGAATTCTCGGAAGGCATCATCTGAAGAGAAGCCCCTCAATCAGTCAAAGGACAGCTATCAGTAAAGCCGATCAATAGCCCTGTCTCCTTCTTCTTTTTCTTATCAATAGTATTTTCTTCTGATAAGCTTCTTCTTCTCTACATCCCGTATATTCTCGTCTATTATCACATACAAGCTTCTTCTTCTTTTTCTTCTTCTTCTTTTTCCGAATTACCCTTCTTCCTTCAACAATGTTTATTTCGTTTTTTCACACTTCTTGAAACACAAATGCCCTTCCCTCAATTTTCCTTTTAATACCGTTTCTGATTCTTATCCATCTTTTTAAGCTTCTTCTTCTTCTTCCTCCTCTTCTATTAATTCTTCGAATTTCCTTCCCTTGTTGCGTAACAGATCGGTATCTTTTGAGTGACAGGAGCTGCCCGGTTTTGCCTTTTTTTTTACGTTTTTTATTCTTGCCCAAGGCCGCTCCCAACTTCTTCTTTTCCATCCGAAAAAAACGCCAGACATAATTTACAAGCATAACAATGACTCTCCGGGCGGCCGTCTTTTTCCGAACAGAACAGTTACTCGTCCAGTTTTACGACATTTTGTCCTCGAGGAAAAGGAAGAAGCTAATCGTCCGATTTCTGAGATAATTAGAGGTAGATAATGACGTGGCATTCTGTCTCGTTGCGTCGTTACTTCTGAAGCCATTTTTGTGTGTCTGGAAATGACGAAGATTGTCATCTTTATTATCCCCTCAAATTGAGTTGAAACCGGACAGGATAAGGAAGGATAGAGATAGATAAAAGTTTTTTTTGTTGGAAACTCAAAAAACAGAGAGAAGTAAGGAACGTTGTTAATAGATGATTACGAAAAGATACTTGATGAATCGAAGATCACCTGATAAAAGATACCGGCAATCGTTTTGAGTGGTAGGGTGTAATAACTGATTTATGTCGATTTTTCCAAATGATAGATGAAGGGGAATTCTGATGAAGCTGAACAGTGATAATTCTTATGACTGATAGAATAAAACATGATTGAAAATATTTTCGTTTCTAAATCGATGGGCTCGAACTTCGAATAATCCCACATTCCCGTTGAAACTGAGATTCGTTTCTCAACTTTGGCATAATATCTTGAGAATTCCAAAGTTTGCCTATAGAGAGATATCCAGAACCAACCACTCTCGTTAACATAGCTTCAGAGGAACTACATATATTTATTGTGTCCACCTACTCTACAGTAACCCAGATAGAAAATTGGAATTACAACAAGGGACTCCAGAGAAACCACATTGTTGGAATTTCGAAGTTTCTTTCTTCATGTGTCAATTTCGTGATATTAAGGCATTCAGAAAATTAGATGTTTCTATTTTTGCTCATAATTTGGCTTGTCTTTCTAAATGGCGTAAATACTTAAAGTATTTCCTCAAAGAAGACCACCTGAACCGTTAACTTTGAGCTCAATTATTTCGATCGTTGGGAAAGATATTAAAATTTTGTAAACTGATAAAATGTTTAATATATTATCAGTAGTTTTTTGTCAGTTCGAACATTTTTGGTATCTTGCAAAGAATCGAGATAAATGAGCTCTAACTTGACAGTGTGGGGGCCATTTCTAACACAGGTTGTACGGTAACTATTTTAAAGTATGTTTTCTCAATTTTGGATTCCACCTCCGATATTTATTTGAAAAGCGAAAGTTCTATGCTTCTTCTTGGCTGTCCCAAACGTTTTGAAAAAAAAAACAATACAGCACAATTAGATTTTCTGCAAACAGCTCCATGTCACTTTCCCTTTTATTCTTCAAATACATCAATTTCCCCTTCAAAACCACCTGCCCTTTTCACTTTTTTTTTTTCTTGTCCCCCAGAAAATAATTTGCTCTTTTTGACAACTTGATGTGCTTCAGATGTTTCTCATGACCTTCAATCCGCCTTTCCTTCTCTGTTAACCATCTGCACAACGTCAATCTAGCGTTCCAATGCCATTGCTCAAATTCCTTTGGCAACTTTCACTCATCGTTTTTTTCTAATGTCCTCCTCCCCTTTCCTCTTTTACTTTCCTTTTTACGTCATCGTTGTCTTACACTTTTTTCTCTCCTTGGCATCTGAAGAACGCTCCGCCCTCTTTTGCGCCGTGTGCCTCCTTTTTTGAAAATGGTATATTCATTCAGTTATTCTTAACCATACTAGCTGGCAGTTCACTATCAAGCTGCTTGTTACTTGGGCTTGTATTACAAGCCTTGAAGCTCAATATATACATCTGTTTCTTTAAGATTGTTTTGCATCTTTTCATTTTTTTAAAAGAGATATTTCGGAGTTTGTTTGGAGTTAGGATATGCATTCTGGCATAAGGCGGACAATTCATATTGTTCACTCTGCGTACAGCTATCGGCCTACCGCTTTAGCTTCTCCCAGTGGCTCAGTCGGTAGCTGCGCCGCATCTTCAATACTCATCTCACGACTCCTCTAGAGGTTTAAATGAACAAAATTTCGAGACAGTTATTTTTTTCCCATCTCTAAATAAAAGATCCAACGTACTTGATGTCTCTTATTTCCACTTGAAAATCTCGGGGGGAAGTCATCCCTCTTCTGATTCTAAAATCGCCGTATCTGCTTCTTCTTCTCCTTATCCATCTTCATTTTTCTCTTCTATTTTCCACTTGAACACCAAAAAAAAAACTAATGATCCTGTCATCATTTATCTCAATGATTAATTGGTTGATATGCCTATTTCCTCTTCCTTCTCTCCAACAATTTCTTATTTAAGATTTTGAAGAACTTCGAATTTTGAAAATGTTGCAAAGATTACAAGGGGTGGATATCATTAAAAAAAGGAATGAAAGAAGGCTAACTTTCTGATAACATTCACTTTCTTTTTTTCTTTTCTCTCTCGATCGTCTTGCTGCTTGTCGATTCATATGATAAGGCTAATGAATCCGGGTTACTTGGCAGTTAACAATTCTTCTCATGGAGAACAATTTTATATTCTTGGTAGATTTGTATTTTTTGAGAAGCACGAAAATTGTTAGAAATGTAATAATTGCACGCCGTTGTGATTTTCGTGAGGTGAAGCAACTTTGACAAGCGATAACTCAGCTCAACCTTTATAGAATATTTTGAAAATTGCCAGTTTCTTGATGAATCATTTAAGTTTTTGCTCTCCAAGTTTCAACCCAATACAACCCTTGTCTCAAGTGTTATGCTGGTATAAACTTGAGTCGGTGTAATTTTGCGCCACCCTGTAAATTGTTGAAAAAGTATTCTTTTTTTATTTTTTGTGAAAATAGAGAAATTTAAGTTTATCTGCTTTTCTATTTGATCTTTGACAAATCAGCTGACAATCTTATCGAGGAGATTTGACAAAATTCAGAATAGCTTCAATTAATCTATTGAGAGACGTACCAGTTCGAAGTAGATAAAGCTGCACAAAGATGCATTCATTGAAAAAAACATAATATTCCGACAAATTTCATCCTTCAACCTTCTAATCAAATTTGGAAACCAGATAATCCTCCAAATCGATTGATCCTTCTCTACAATTGAAACACTTGTGTTTCATATAACCAGTCAACATGTCTATTCTCCTTCACCATCATCTCATAATAGATTCTTCCTCCCCATTATCAATAATAAGCTTCTCTCTTTTTCTTCATCCATTTTTTTTCCTCAACATGCAATCTGGTTGATTTGCCATCCAACCGGCCCCCTCCTTCGATGAGGCAATCCATACCCTCCTCCTTTAATTTCTCTGTTGCCATTGTGTCATCCGTGTAGCTCCGCCCAATTTCAAAACACTGACCTCCTCTTTTGTAGGTTGATGAGAAGAGACTAGAGAATCCGGATGAGATATCTGTGCAAGTCGATCCTTCTCGCGGTGCACACGATACTGTTAGTGTGCTCTGCTGAACCATCGGATGACAAGTATGCTCTATTGCACGTTAGTGCACACGATGCACAATCCCTACATCTCATTAAACAACTTCAACTAAACGATTACAAATATGATGTGAGTCTAATCACTGTTTTTTGTTGTCGTTAAACCTGTAATAGAAGGATCCCCGAACTTTTGATTTTGATTCAATTTATCTCGATTCCTGTAAATGATATATAAAAGTGGTCAAACGACCAAATGTTAATTAGGACATCAAACATATTTTGTTACTTGACCACTTTTCGATATCTCACTTACTATCAGGAACCGAGAGGAATTGGGTTGGAGTTAAAAGTTAAAGGTGACTTTCTATTAGAGTGTTTACCCTTAACTGCCAGTTTTGCATTTCCATTATTAAACCTAACTTTTCTAGCTCGACTTTTGGAAATCTCCTTCTTCAATCTCTGACAAAGCTGATATAATGGTGAAGCGTGGAAAGCCCGAACGAATGCTTCGACAGATACTCTCTTTCGCAAATGTAACAATATCAATGTCGGTACCTGATGTTGAAAAGTTTGTGGCGCCTTCATATAATCCGATTCTACAACATTCCATTTCAGATTAATCATGAGAAACGAAGGGACCACTTCAAAATCTCTTATGGGATCCTTCTCAAAATGGCTTCACGATGATCCAATATTGGATAGTGAACGTAAATTATTTTCATGTTTTTTTTCCAAAACTGTCAAATTTTCAGCTGACCTAGATTTGACTAAAGTTGGAACATTGAAAAAAGCGAAATATCCTTTTGGAGATTACGCTTCTTATGCTGATATGGTCAAGTACATGAGAACTATTGAGTTCTATTATCCAAGAATTGCAAAGATTGTCCGGATTGGAGCAACTCATGAAGGCAAACCAATTGAGGGATTGAAGATTGGAGCAAGAAGTTCTCATAAGAAAAGAGCAGTATGGGTTGATGGAAACATTCATGCTAGAGAATGGGCTAGTAGTCACACAGCTCTTTATTTCATCAATCAGGTTAGGTTGGGGTATTTTTTTGGTTATGGTTTTTTTTTAATAACTGATGTTCCTTATTTCGGGAAACTGTTACCGCATGGACAAGTATATGGTCTAGAAATCTGCAGCGTTTTTGGCTGCCGCGGTGGTGAAAATAGCTGATTTGCCTTTCCTTTGAATAACCGTATTAGAGGGTTGGCTTCAAATAAAGGTGGGCTTCTCTTAAAGAAAATACGGTACTTTGAAAAACTGAGATTATGAAACTGCAAGCGTCGCAAACTTTTACAATCTGATCTTTCAGCTTGTATCTGGCTACGGAGAAGACCCACAAATCACGAACTACGTGGACACTCTTGACTTCTACATCGTTCCATGTCTCAACCCAGATGGATATGAATACACACGTAGCTCTCCTATTCCAAGTGTCCGTCTCTGGAGAAAGAATCGATCACCAGAAGTATGTCGTCCATCTCTATGGGGTGGAGAGAAGTGTTGTCAGGGTGTGGATCTCAACAGAAACTTCCGATTCCACTGGGCAGAGCGTGGATCTTCCTATGAGCCATGTTCGAATATCTATCACGGAGAAGAAGTATTCAGTGAGCCAGAAACGAAAGCAATTCGGAATTTCCTGGCTACACCCGATATGAAAGATCGATTGGATGCATTTGTGACACTTCACTCGTATGCTCAGTTATGGATTTATCCATATAGTCATGAGGAGCAGAACTATCCAGAGGACATTGGAGAATTGAGAAAGACAGCCAGAAAAGCAATCAACAGATTGTCACGAGTTTATGGAACTAATTATAGAATGGGAACTGGAGCCGATACTTTATGTAAGCTAGATAATGAATTCAATCTTGACAACCAATTGATTTCAGCCCCAGCAGCTGGAGGATCTGATGACTGGGCTAAATCGGCTCTCGCTGTAAAATATGTCTACCTAATTGAACTCCGTCCACAAATGGAATGTAAGCTATTCTCATTATCCTCTTTTCCGTTTCTTATAACTTTCACAATTTCAGTATCCAATGGATTCATTCTTCACAAAAAAGAGCTCATTCCAACTGCTGTCGAGACCTTTGAAGGGTTTAGAGAAGTCGTCGACGCTGTACTCGTTCTCAATAATCCCACGTCATCTGCTTCTGCCGCATCTGGAGCATCGAATTCTAGGAAAACGATTTCAGATTCACAAATGAGAAAGCAAAGAATGAGACTTCTGGCTTCCCAAGCGGCAAGAAGTACGCAGACATCTAGGGCTACAACGACAACAACCAAAATGACGACTACATCTGAAGCAGAGACCACTAGTGCAGGTTAGTTTCATTTTGAAAAATTCAAGCTCGAAACAGATCAATTTTCAGCGACCTCTTCCAAGCCAAGTCGTCATTTTGATCGTTTCACTGCTGATCCCAACTCATCTACTCGTGCTCGGCCAACACCTCCAATGGCTCCTCCAATCATGTCTTCTTCAACAGAATTCTCAACAACTACAGAAGAGGAAGCAACAGAAATCATCTCGACGTCTTCAATTTCATCCCGAGCAACTACCCGATTTGGATTCTACACTGCCACCAAACCATCAGCTTTTCTGGATCCAGAGTGCAGGGATATGAGGTAGTGAACTCTTCATTTTGAATTACCAAAAAGGAAATTTATTTTCAGATATTCTTGTGGATTTTGGCTGAAAAACAACAAACAAGTGTGCGAGGAACAGCAATCATTCATGCGTGCTCAATGTGCCTACACCTGTAAATTCTGCACATCTTTCATCAAACGACACTAACAAAAATGATTTGATTTTGACTGACCGATTACTGATCTCCAATCCTGCTTGAAATTCCGCCTTCAATAGGGTATTCCTTAATTTATTTTTTTTGTCTTGTTAGTTTGCTTCTAGTGTTTTTTTCATTCATTGCTTCAATAAATTATTTTTCAAAAATATTTTTTACATACCGTAAATCAAAAAAAAACTCCAAAAAATCTCCTGCCCCCTCCACCTCATTTACAATTTTGACCATTCTTTCCAGTAAAATCTTTCTTCCAATTCAAAATTGTTATCCAAAAATGTAAACAAACTGATGTCATACATAATTACCGAATTCAAGAATCAGAAAACAAGAAGTGCAGAAACTCTTGGAAAACGAGTCAATAAACTATAATTTCAGGTGGAGAGTCATGGGATTCCATGTTTTCAAATGTTGATTTTTTTCGAACTGGGTCATCCTCTTTCATACTCGCTGTCTGATTTTTGTTCTGAAAAAGATACCGTATTCGCCTTAATAAGTAGAAGCCGACCCTTCCAGCTTCCAGCTCGATTATCTCGATTCCTATGAGAGATATCTAAAATTTTCAACCGATAAAATTATTTACCACAATATCACTAATATTTTATCGGTTGACAAATTTATGATACCTCTTATAGGAACCTAGATAATTGAGCTTAATGTTGGAAGTTGGGGAAGCCCTTCTTTTACAGGTTTTTCGCTAACATCTTCTACTTCTATGATAAATGTCTTCTAATATTTATTTTGTCTATCTAATAAAAATATCAATATCACTTTCTCCTTCTCACATGACTTCGAAATTCAATGAATGCATCAAACATATTTTCCGTTTCAAAAGTTCTGCCGGTGGGTCACTTCCATTCACACTTTCGCCTTCTCTCTTATTGAAAATGGCACTAGAGACACTGTCTGTTCCTCTCCTCTTCTTCTCTTTTTCCGAAATCGCAACCTGTTTTCAATTGGAAGAATGGCGAGGACTTCTGAGTGACCTCGCGACGTCGTCTTCCACTTTCAAATTGTCTTTTCAATTCATCGATTGTTTCTGTTTTGTTCCTTCTTTTATTCTATTTCTTCTTCTTTTTTGTTGTTGTCATGACGACATTTTTGAGGAGCCCCCAAGTGCTTCCTGCTTTTCCTTCCTTTTATGTCTGCCGTCTCTTTTAAATCTCTTACTCTCTCACTCTTCCTCTTGTTTTTCGATTCCTTCACATACCATATATGGTTGAATATTTGACTAACGAACCCTATCCGTTCAAAAATTTCACACCTATCTTCATGGGGTATCTCTTCTTTACAGGATTTTCTTTTCTATCAGCTCTTTTTTTCAGAAAAGTCCAAATGTTGGATCCAAGAGAAACATTCGAAAAATACGAGCACCGGAGGTCTCCACACCCGCCACAAGGAGTTATAACGACGGAAAGAAGAGAGTATTTAGCATGTGAATATAGAAGAGAACCTCATCCACAGGAACAAAGTTAGTTTAAAAAATCTAATATTCGACATGTCAAACGCTGATTTGACTTACCTGCAAAACTGTAATGGAAGGCCCCCTAACTGTAAACTTCGAGTCAATTTATCTCGGTTTCTGTAAAAGATACCAAAAATTTGTCAACTGATAAATTGTTGATCATAACATCACAAATGTTTTCCCAGTCGATCAATTTTTGATATCTTTCACAGAAACCGAGAAAAATTGGCTCAAACTTGACAGTGAGTGGGGCCCTTCTACTACAGGTGTTTGGGTGTTCCAGTTTTTTTTTTTGGAAAAATTCGTTAATTTTAATGTTGATTCCAATCAATTCAGATCAAAAGTATGCCTTCTTTTTTCTGTTCAAATTTCGAATCATTAAAAAAAAATTGAATTGTATGATTTTAAAAAAACTGCCAAATTCCAAAATTTGGTATTCGATTCAATCTAATTGTCAACCTTCTTTTTATTCGAATATTCTTCAGGTCGTCCAAATTCCATTCTCCGAAACTCGAACGCACACCCATCGCATTCTTATCAGGATCGAGAAAGGGAACATGCTCGATTGGCATGTGAATACAGAAGAGGAAATCCACAAGTAGAGCAGGGTAAGTCAAATGTGAAATTATTTTTTGAAAGTCAAAGATTCAGGTCAATTGGCATGCGAGCTCAGAGCCCGTCCAGCAACCACAATCACTACTTATCTTCCGGAGAACACAAAGAAAAAATGTAAGATTTCGTTGAAATTGAAAATCAGATTATATAAAATATGCATGGTCCATAGTCGGTTATTTTGGCCATTGAGATTATTCTGAACCTTAAAGATGGTCCTCTAAATTATTTTTTCTTTATGGAACATATATTCAATGAAGTAAAAATAGTTTAAAAGTAATACTGACACTAAAGAAGCAAAACAATCATTAATGACCGAAAAACCCAACGAAAGCCAAAATATGGAAGCAAATTTAATCAAGATTGCTCAATCAACTCACAACATACAACTTTGTGTCTAATTCCTTGAAAAATAGTCGATTTGAAAATTCGGCAGATGTATGAATATTTGAAAAAAAATAATCGATTTCTATTAGGTTGTTCAAAAATCTTTGAAACTTTTGCTCAATTGGGGTTTTCTTCAATTAAAAAAAGAATGATCCAAAATTTTCTTGGTATCCTTCCGACCATGGAACTTCTTTCTAGCAAAACGGTTTTAGAAAAATCGGAAAAGGTGGTAATTAATTAGTTCGAGATGGGGAGTGTACGGTGGGCAAGATAGAACTTCAATTTCTACAGGCTCGGGCTTATTGTGGGTCTTCGAAGATTTGTGTGGTTTTTCGTTGTCGTGACAAAGTTTCAACACCGAGCTCATCGATAGGAGAGATAGATGAGCATAAATACCACTTTCCATTTGAAAGCCGTAGAGCCAAAGTTAATGCCATCGGACTCCGGAAGCAGCTTGCCAGATATTACTCCAGCACAGTCTAACCAAGTCGAAAAAATCTGATTTTATCTTGAAGCTTCCCATTTGGGTCAGATTCCGCCGTTTCTTTTAAAGGTACCTGTTTGAGCTTTCTGGCATGGTTGACATACAGTACCCGTTTATCATCTCCTATATAAATTTTGTTGATCCAGTCCCTTGTCGGTTTCCTAGTGAACGATGAAAGTGGCATGTCACATCGTACATTTTTCTGAAAATCCGTCAAAATGTATGAAACGATTCGACCAACTCTCTGAGCTCCTTCCGTTTGGTGAACATTATTGGATACCGACGTATTAGGACGGTGGAAAGTCAAAGATACTGCACGTGAAATAGTTCGGGGCTCATGCTTCAGTAACATCGAAATATCGTCATCCATACTGACACTGGGGAATTTCGATATTGGTAGATGTTCTAGATTATGGTTCCCGTCTTTGAATCTTTTGAACCAAAACTTAATGGTGATCCGAGGGATGGTGTCTGCGCCTAACACTTTGCACCTTGTTCGCCAAGGTTCGTTGCTTTAGAGACCCTGGAGAATCATGTACAAAACACACCTCTGAGTATGTGTTGTTCATCTAGTTAGTTCGCGCCCATTATGCTGTTTAGGGGAAATTTTTTACAGTGCCTCGAACATGCTATGTGTGCCGTCAATATGTAAATATGAAAACAGAATTGGAAAACATCCAAAATAGGATAAGCGACATAGAGATAAGTGCAAGTGTCAAAGACTTATTGAACAACCTAATAGTTTTGCTCAGTTAATGTCAAAGAGATCCGATGCTTTTGAAAAACCAAAAAGTTTAGCAAAATCTTCGAAAAAATATCAGTTTTTAATTCAGCTTTTTTCAGTACCAATTGGATGGATCGTGTGCGTTGCTGTTTGCATCCCAGTTCTCATCATAATCATTGTTTTCGCTGCCGTTTGGCTTCAGGAAGTTGGCATTATCTAACCATCAGTCCACAAATTTTTCTTCACTTCATTCCTATCAATTATCGGGTAATATTTCAAATATTCCAACATCACTGCCTTATCCGTTTTCTTCTGCCACACTTCCCAAAATAAACATGCTTCGTTTCTTTCCTCTATTTTTCAAAAGTTTGACAACAAAATGTGGTTGTAAAGTGGATAGGCAGCACATAATGTAAATCGAAAGAAGATTTGGTTCGTAGCCGACGGCGAGAATTGAACTGACGAGAGAGTGTGTGAGAGGAAGAGACGCAGAATGTATTCCCACCGTGCAATAAATTGGGTTGAGATGAGCTCAGAAAAGGGAAGGAATAACAGAAGAAGGAGTATTAAGAAGCAGGTACTGATGGATAGAAAGAGAGGAGTACTTATTGAATAAAGAGAGTAGATGGGTTTGAAGAAATTGAGTTTAGAAAAGGAGAAGATGTCAATGAATTGGAAGAACATGCAGCAGTTTGGTTTCAAAATATTTATCATGCTGGTAACCGAGAATCGGAGCTGTGGAAAAGAAAATCTGGTGTCGGCAGCCACGGCCGACCTACCGTGGTTAGCAATTTTTTTTAAACCTTCACTTTTTTCTCGTTTCGCTTTTTCGGCAATTTTTTAGATTTAGAAAAGTGCTATTTTCCGACTTGTTTAGAGGCTTCAACACAAAAGGTGTCGAAAGGAAAAAAACCGAACATTTTAGGTTACGGTGTTCTTCGTCACGGGAACCTTTGGCTCCGCCCACAAGTTTTTCTCTTCGGCAGCTCCAATTTTTTATATCAGCACAATAAATAACGTTTTTTATAAGATATTCAGCTCAGTTTATTACCATGGATAGAGTTTTGTACCAGACGTTCAATGTACCAGGAATGATCACGAACAGTAGTGTCCTATGAACTTGTGAAAGATTTTATATTCTAAAAAACCAAAATACTACAACTCTTTTAATGATTCCAGAAAACCCCAATTGTCTTTTTCTCAAAGTGAGCACTATAACAAACCAAAACAGAGAACACCATTCAAACTGCTATATATACGGGATTTATCTTCATAATTTCAAATCCTGAAAGTACGAAATTGGAAAATCGTAAATGGACACACTTTCCACATCAAGAAGAACGCCTGATGATGAGCACCATCCACACAACAATGTTACAGTAAAATCATATGTAGATGGTCCCAAGAACTTTTAACTTTGAGACAATTTATCTGGGTTCCTCTGAGAGACATCAAAAAATTGCTAAATAACTGATAAATTGTTTATCATAATATTCCACATCTTTTGTCAGTTGACATATCTTTTCAGGTTTTCTAGACTTCAAAACGGGAAAAAGGAAACATTTTGAACTGATAATCGCTATCATATCGTTATTTTTTAGAATGGCTGGAAGTTTTAAGCTGAAAATTTCAGATTTTAGTTGAAAACACATTCTCGAGTGTTTGTTGTGTGGTTTTTTTCTAATCGAAATTCGATACAATTTTTGCAAACTGTGATAGATGATCAGTTTAACTATTAAATCAATTGATATAAAGTCAATATACACACTCATCTCAGTTCATTTCCACTTGACACTTCTTCGCTTTGCTCCCCCACTTCACCTCCTCCGTCTTCATTTTTGGCTCCTCCCCTCTTTTCTTTCTTTCAATCCATTTGTCTTCTTCTATTTCTTTATCCGCTCTTTCCGGCTCCTCCCACTTTCAAGCCCACGACGGCCCATTTTTCGATTGATCCTTCGTTTTCATCGTCTTCTTATTTCTACTTATTCTATTCTATGATGAAATGGATTGTATTCAATGTCGAAGAGCTGCTTGCAAGGTACCTAATTGTTTGACTCTATTCTCAATTGGTCCCCTCCAAGTAGCTCTATTGCATTGTTTATTTAGAGTGATCTTTTTTTAAACATTCATAAATAGTTCGTTGATTTATAAAGGAATTCCTAGGTAACGTTTTCAAAAGTTTCAGATTTTTCCTTTGTCTGAAGTTTCATACTGAATCACTTTTCGATCGTCATCCCGAAACTTTTGGAAGCGAGTCAAATTGATAACTTGAAGAACTTGAAGTGTTTCTTTGTCTTCTGATTGCCCAGTTTAAGTACATAATTCTTAAGGAACAATGATTGAGGAGCACAACGGGGTTCAAAATTCTCAATTCGGGGGTACAAAATTCTATTATTTTCAGTTCTTTTGTACCCCCGAATTGAAAACTTTGTACCTCTAAAATGCTTCGTACCCCAATGACCCCAAAATTTTTGAACCCTCCGAATTATGTGCCCCCAGTTTAGGTACATGTCCATTGTTCAATAAAGTCTGAAAACTACCTATGAGAGTTTAAATTTCATATGTGTGAAACTGAAGCCACAGGAATCTACGCATGAATTTAAAACACGAATTTATTAATCCACCTAAAAATTTTAAAAGCTGAGAATTGTTCTGAAGATATCTGAAATTTTCTCAATTTCAGCAAATATGACGACAAATTTAAGAAAAATTTGATAAAGAAATACAGGCCCAGGGTCTAAGGCCACATCGAGGGCACATTGAACCTTGGGGTGTATGTAGGGCGATTTAGCATTCGCCTACAATTTTGAGCACAAAGCGAGATTGTCTGTAAAAAAGGTTTTCAATTTTTTTTTCTCAGAATTACCACAAAATCTTATGTACCTTTGGACTAACCCGGAAAACTAGATAGACCCTTTTTCTAGTCCGGTCTAACATTACAACTTCCTGACATCATCGCTTTACAACTCGAAATATCATTTTTTGCAAGAGTGCAACTCCAAAATCGAACGGATAAGTGAAATCGAACCCATAGTCCTTATAGCGAGAAGAAAATTATAGGTTACGAAGAAAGGCATTGTCCCGCGAGAGCATCAAATTTAACACGGAAAGGAGTCAAAAGCGGAGAGCCCTAATGGAAAACGAAATAGAAGTTTTCGGAAGAAACAATCGGGTTCTTGGTGGGATTTCTTATTCAAATTTACATAATATAGTTTAATTTTGAGAACTTTTTTCAGAATGTCCTGTGCCGCAGAAGAAGGAATAAAGTAGAAACTTTATCTTTCTTTTACAACCCAAAGTTTCAGAAAAAAAAATTAACATCGCTAAGACTAATCTTTGGCTGTATTCAGTAAAACGGACCACTTGAGAACATCGTGCATCGTTGCACCAAAATTACTCACAGAACCTAGTTCATTCGTTCACCTGGTTTAGACATATGTATGTACCTACTCATCCATCAAAAACACTGATCCAATTATAATGTCACTATGGATTAGTCTCAACAAAAATGTTTCAATCAAAAAACGGTCGAATTTCGTTTCAAACCAATTTGTGTCGTTCAATCATCTCCTCTTTATCCTCTCATTTCAAAGTTTTTAGGTGAAAGTTCAAAGTAAGGAAGCAATTCATATTTGATATTTCTAAATTAATTTTTTCGAACTTCGAGTTTTGGAACCGAGTTAGGGGTACACCTGAAAAAATTGAAATATCCCTGAACTGAGAATTTTTTACCCCTAAATGATTTTGAAGTTTGCCTGAATCCCTTTGTTCTCTTTTTGTATGTACAACGAATTTTGTTACCCTTTGAATTACCGTAAACACTCTAATAGAACGCCACCCGACTCGTCAAATTTGAGCCCGTATATCTCATTTACTGTGAAAGATATGAAAAAGTGGTTAACTAATGAAATGTTGTTAATAAACATTTTATTTGCCTTATTTATGTAAAATTGTAAAGAAAAGTTTTCAGGAATAAAAACAGTGATTCCTATGTTTTCAAGATTTACTTAGATTTGTGAATCAATCCAATCACTTTTCTTTTAGAAAGACTAACACTAGGTTTTTATTTCTGGCACTAAAATTTCCAATACTTTGGCTTGGCACCAAATCGGTGATTGTGCGGACACTCATCCAATTCAAAAAAGAACCGCATTATTTATAAATTTTACTTAATTTTCTCAATCAAACTGCTATGAATCCGAGATTTATCTCAATAACTTCCAGTTCTGAAAATATGAAATTGGAAAAAAAGTAAAAGGACCCCATTAAGAAGAACGCCTGAAGATGAGCGCCATCCACACAGCAATGTTACAGTAAAACCTGCAATATGTAGATGGTCCCCCTAACTTTCAACTTTGAGTCATTTTTTTTGGTTTCTGTCAAAGATATAAAAAAACTTGTCAACAGAGAAGAGTTGTCAAAGAATCATAATATCAGAATTGTTTTTTCGGTTAGCACATTTTTGATCATTTGCATAGGAAGAAGAATGAGCTCAAACTTGATAGTGTCGGGGCTTTTCTATTACAGGTTTTATGGTTTTGAAAAATTAAGATCTATTACACACTTTTCATACAATACCCTGTCACTATCAATCAAAAAATAACCCAATTGAACCTAGAATTCAACCAAAAAAACACATCATTATCATCAATTCTGACCTTGTCTCAACATCGAATTATCGTCAAAACTGCGTGGGAGAAAACGAAAGAAACTGCGAGAAAAAGGCGGGAGAAAAAATAATCGAGACACAATTGATAAGTGTTGAAGAATATAATCAATTAGCACCAAGAGAAGAACTGTAACATCTTCTTTTTCTCGATCCCCTCCGATTCTCGTCAACAATCGGTTCTCACTCTCTCTCTTCTTCCGACCTCTACCTTTTCCGCCCGCTTCTTCATTCGTTCGCTTGTTTATTCTTCTCCAAATACATCTTTCTCTTTCCCTCTCTCTCTCTCTCTCTCTCTCTACCTCCATCTTCTCCTTTTCCGATCACATTCGATTCTCCTTATTCTTCTTCTTCTTCATCTCATTTCGTGTTCTTCTTGTTTCAAACACTGTTAATACTACAAGAAGCTGTCTCATGAACTGGCAGAAGCAACGACAGCATGTTCTCGATCGGCTCGCTTTTTTGCCAGGTAAGCGTTGTTTGGGGGATCTCGATATTCTTTGAGAAGACTGTGGCTGGTCCTTCTAGTGTCTCCTGAATGCACTCGAACACTTAAGGGCAGTTATTCAATTTCTTCAGTTTTAAAATTCTTTTATCCCTAAAATTACTTCTTGTTTCTCGGTATTTCCAAACACCGTAAAATCTGTAATAGAAGGGTCCCCTAGCTTTTAACTTTGAACCAATTTATATCGCTTCCTGTAAATAATATATAAAAGTGGTCAACCGACAAAATGTTAATTAGGACATCAAAAATATTTTGTTAGTTGTCTCCCTCGATATCTCCCTTATTAACAGGAACCGAGATGAATTGGGTTGGAGTCAAAAGTAATAGGCCCCCTAATTTTTTCACTTTGAGCCAATTTATCTCGCTTCCTGTCCAAGATATGAAAAAGTTGTCAACTGATAAATTTCTAATCATAATATCAGAAATGTTTTTAAGTTAACACATTTTTGATTTCTTGCATAGAGATCGAGATGATTGAGCTCAAACTTGAGAGTGATTTGGCTAGAAAACAGAAACAAATCATTTTTCCCACAAAAGAGAACTCGAATTTTCGAAAAATGCTCACTGGCAGTTTGGTAACACGAACTTCGAAAACATTTCGTTTCAAAAAAAAATGAACAGTCTCATGATTAATTTTTGTTCATCACTGTCTGAAAATGGTCTTTTATTCTCACTGTGATGTAAAAAAATAATTTTCACTATAGTGGATCCAAGTTTCTTCGGACCTTTCAACAGCTGAAAGTCGATTAGAACATATTTCAAACAACAGAACAACGTTTTGCAATTCATGACTGACTTTTGAATATTACAAAATAATTAATCAGTAAACTGGTCAAATTTCAGATTATTTTATCAACTTTGAGTTATCGCTTGCCAAAGTTGCTTTATCTGACGAACGTTCATCTTTGAGGAATCATAACAACACCCAGACTTGAGGGATTATTTTGAAAATTCCAGTAGCTTTGAATCAAACGTAAAATTGTATTTTCACCATGTTTCGTGTTTCCAAGATATTTCTTTCTGAAGATATACCCGTTTTTATCAATATGGGTAATTGTGCAACACCCTGTAGACGGTGCTCCAGAACAGTTTCATTCAACATTTGAAAAAAAAAGTGAAAGTGTGATTGAACATCACATATTATTTTCTTTTCAATTTCCCCCTCGTTATATCTCCATATTTACGCATTTTATCAATCTCCTCCTTTCCGTTACCTATTGACACAGTTCTCCGTTGCGCAAAATACCTTCTTCTCTTTTCTCTTTTCAAAAGCTTCTTCTTCTTCTTCGTCCCTCGAAGAAAAACGTAACGGGTGTAACATGCCAATCAAGGTAATTTAACATATAAATTGAACATTTCTTTTCTTTCTTTACCATGTCTTTCTTTTTCTTTTTTATTCTATCACAGTTTTGTTACACTTTCTGGTGGAGTGATATCAGAAAAGGAAGAAGAAAAAGAAGCTTTTGAATTATCAGTCATCAATCTCTTTTGCGTGATTTTCTGACACAAAAGTTGATTTGAGACAAATAGTTTTTTAATATCCAATTGGCGACGGAAATGCGCAAAATGGAGATAGAAACTGGAGAAGAAGAAGAGGGAAAAGACAAAAAGTAAATAACAAATATGGGAAAAAACAATAGAAAAAACCGCACAGAGTGGTAAACTTTGAAAAAGGAGAAAGGTTGTGCAAGCATACAAAACTGTTTTACAGCAATTGTACACTATTCGAAACAATAGTAACAAAAAAAACTAGGCACATTCGGGAAAATATTACGAAAGATAAACCCAAAAAAGTGTTAGGAACACATGTGAGCAATAGAGTGGCGTAACTTTCTCAACATAGTTTTTCTAGGCTTAGTTGATGATCCAAAAATGGTCTGAAATGCACCTGATGTGTTTTCTACGTCATTTAACATAGTGGCCTAACTTTTTCAAGTTGGGTTTTCTAGGCCACCATTGTTAATAGCCTAGAAAACACACCAGATGAATATCAGGCCGTTTATAATGATGGTCTGAAAACTCAACTTGCAAAAGTTAGGCCATTATGCTAAAATGACCTAGAACGCACGGAGCCGATATTATTTGTTCGAATTTTAGTTCAAAAACTGTACGAAAAATCGTTCAAACACGAATTCTCGAAAATTTTTCGAAACTTTTTTCGAAATTCCGTTCAAGAATTTGCCGTTTTCGAAAAGGTCTCTCGAAAAACACACACTGGGTACAGTAACCTCAAAATGGGATTTTCAGGCGGTACCGACCGTGAAGGCAATGCTCTTCTAGTCGTCTCCACATCACAAGTTCAAGAATGCTCCTACGAAAACTTGGTTTCTCTTCTGGCACTTCTATCAGATACTCTCCCTCCTTCAACCCTATTCACAGTACTTCTAGACACAAGGCATATTCATTTGAAGCAGTTAAAGTTCTATTTGAGAGCATGTCAGGTTGGAAGTTTTGAATTTTTGGAGGTTTTGCTAATTATGCGAATTTTCCAGCAAGCCCTGTACAAGAAAATGAGACAGGTGTTGATAATTCAACCGGAGAAATTTTTAGAGCAACAGAAGATCAATTTCGATTTGATAGTTTGTGGATATACATCAAAGGTGCGTAAATTTCAGGACTTATGAATTAATGAATGCTCTAATTTCCAGACAGTACTTATTTCAATGCACAAATTATCGAAATTCGTAGACGTCAATCAGTTACCTGAGCAATTCGGAGGAACTTTAGGATATGATCCAGATGCATGGCTTTCCAAGAGAATAGTGATTTTATTCTTCATGAACTACGATTAATCTAGAATTTCAGGAAATTAAAAAGTGGCAGAACTATCTAGCAGAGGTTGATACAGATGGTTCCAGACATAATCCAGATGAGGATCAAACACGTATTTTTGAAATGATTTCCAAACTAAAAATTGTATTTTTCAGTAGATGAATTCGTTTCAAAACTCCAAGCTACAAAACTGGTGGAAGATGAATACGCAGCTAAATCGTTGAAAAAATCCATTCGAGAATTGAAAGCAAAAGAAGAGGAGAATAGCAAAGAGGGATTGATTAAGGATCATACAGCTGGAGTTTCTGATTTTTTGGATTGGATTGAGGGAAGTGGAGAGAAATGGTTGAATTCGTTGTGTCAAGTGGCAGATAATGTGGATGAGGCGGAGGGTTTGGTGAAGCAGCATGAAGAGTTAACGAATAAAACAAAGGTGGGTCACATTATGAGAAGATATGTTAAAATGATGGCGCTATCATTCATGAACAAATTTCGACTATCATTTCTTCAGGAAATCGAGGAACAAAGTCACCAGCTAGCCGAAATAGCTACTCGATTGATGGCTGCATGCCCTCAAGTAGCTATCGTTCTTCAAAAGGTTCGTTCCAATCAATGTGTGATTTTCGTTATGCTTGAACGATTTTTCGAAAAAAACATTTCGAGCGAGTTTTCAAACTTTTTTTGAATCGATGTCGAAAATCACACACCCCGGGTTCTTGTGAGGCCTATCTTTCTCTATATAATTTTTCTAAGTCACCGTATTTTACTCTTCAGAAATGGTCTAACATGCACGTGATGTGTTTTCTGCATAATGTAACATGGCGACCTAACTTTCGCAAGTTGAGTTTCCTAGTCTAAAATGGTAAATAGCCTAGAAAACACTCCCGGTGAATATCGATATTCATCAGTAGGCCATTTTCCATGGTGACCTAGAAAACTCAAATTGTCATACTTGCTCTCGGCCCGGCCCGGGCTGGAGAAAAATTATTCCGGCCCGGCACGGCCCGGGTTCCGAAAATTTCAAAAATTTTCTGATAATTTTTGGTCTTTTTTGTCAAAATAATCATTTTAAAGCACGAAATTTGTCCCATGACTCTTCTTAAACCTGAAAACAAAGAACGGCAAGCGACATGTATGCAAATTAAGTTAGGCCACCATGCTACAATGGTCTAGAATGCGCGGAGTTCAGTTTAGTGGTTCAAAATTAGCAGTTTCGTAAAGTATTCTTCGAAAAATACACACGGGTTCCAATACATAATCTAAAAACAACGTTTGAGGGATTTTGTGTTCCCTCTAATTTGAAGTAAACCTTCTGAAATGTTTCGAACCTTCTTTGTTCCAGACTCGCGAACAAATTCGAGACGTCGCAGAGCATTTTTCTTACCGAGTAGAAGCCCAAACTCAATTCGCCGTTTCAAACAAAAACTTCCGTGAAAAAGTTGGCGAATTCATCAAAAAATCCGACCAGATGCTAGAAAAAGTGTGCGCTGAGGATGAGAAAACTGTGAAACCAATTGAAGAATTGACATCGACAAAGAAGGAATTGGATGAGCTCGTTAACTCGATGAGTAAGTTGTTTTCCAATGATTTCCCCAAAAAATGTTATTTTTGAGATGTTGCTTACGAGTCAGCAATGGACGCCGGAGAGGATACTGTAGCAAAAGCTCGTCAGTACGCAGAAGTGCTTCCAGCTGAAGAATTCGTTGCTCATATCGCATCTAGTCTTAATTACCTTTCACAGAAGCAGAATAGGTTGGCTTTATTATATTCAGATAATAAAACAAATATTGAATTTTCAGACATAATGAACTAGCTAGTGTGAAACGTCTAGAACAACAACAACATATCCAATTAATGACCACTTATGAAGATTGTGATCAAGCGATTAAATGGCTTGGCGAGCTGAAAAAACACTTCACAGAGAGTATAGTTTGTCAGATATCGATGAGGGAGCGGTTAGAAATTTGAGAAACGATAGACAGGATTTAGATAAGACTGCAATTGTAAGTATTCAATCATTTAGAATTCAGCTTGACTTCGATTCTAGAGCACATATCAATACGGAAAACAGTTGTTATCGATGGCCAAAAATAGTGAAAGATCATCCATGAAAGAGGGATCTACAGAAGAGAGAAAAGAGAAATTGGAGGCAGCATGGAAGGAGTTGGATTTAGCGATTCAGAATAATGAGCAGAGATTAAAAGTAGTCGAGTCATTTATGGCAACGCATAGACAGGTAATTAAAGGACATCAGGACAGAAACCAACACAGAAACTTTCAGATGATGGAAAGAGTAAACGAAATTGAGAGATCTCTTCGAGAACGTCTTCGAGTCAGTGGAAAACTGAATTCCATAACTTTGAGCACGGAAAGAAAACGATTGAGGCATGATGTGGATGAGCTTTCAAAGTGTGGGAATTTGTTGTCAACTCAGATCAATGCAGATCATACGTAAGTCTGAAATAAATAATTCCCAAAAAAACCTCAATGGTTTCAGAACTACGGCCCAAGATAGGCAAAATGCCATTAAACAAATATCCGATAAGATCGATGAGGTTATGACGGCTCAACGAAGGATGGAGAGTTTGATTGGAGAAGAAGAGGAGGCTGGATCCAGCTCTTCCGGAAAGGAGAAAAAGGTAAGATTACGAAAAATATAAAAAAAAAACAAAAAGATATTGCCCCGGACGGGATTTGAACCCGCGATCGGTTGCCCGAATGAGAACATAAGTCTCACGCCTTCGACAACTTGACCACCGGGGCACATATTCTGAAAAATGTGCAACTGGGTCATATTTGGGGTAAAAAGAGTGGTTTCCGGGGTAATCGAGTACGAGGAACACGATAAGAACAATATCTGAACAATGAGGATGATCATAAGTTCTGAAAACAGAATAAATCGTGCAAGTTTGTTATCGTAGTCTACAGTGCGTTTCAATATTATACGTCCACTCTTGTTTTTGGCCGCAACTTGAGAACCGGTTGAGATATCACTCTAATTTTATTAAAATTGAATTCAGAGCAACAAATTACCTCTAGAAAACCATTTTTGAGAAAAAATATTGAAAACTACTCGAGATACAGAGAAAAATCTGAAAATGTGACATTTGCAACCGTTTCAAAATTATACGTCCACTTCAAAGGTATGTCGATCTTGACCTTTGGCGGAGCCGGAAAAGCTTGAATTTAGTTTTGTTTTTTGCTGCCAATGTGAGAAACTTTTTTCATTATGCTTTTCCTTGTTTTTCTCCACTTTTCAACATGTCTCGTGGCCATTTGCTCACTGATGCTGAAAAAGCCTTCATCGACGCGTTCAAAACCTCTGGTTGGACCAACAGGGCTATCGCGAAACATCTAAATCGTTCCCACGATTGCATTAATCGTTTTGTATCGAACCGGACCCGCAACAATCAACCCAACAAGGCTGGACGTCCTCCAAAACTCAATTCAAGAGCCAAACGATCAATCGTTCGTGTGGCTTCAAACACCATGAAGTCTTGTAATGATATCAAAAAAGAGCTGAATCTTGGAGTGAGCAAGTGTACAATCTGGAGGGCTCTTAAGGATGATCCAAACATCAAAAGAGCAGTCATGCGCCCTGCTCCGAAGCTCACTGACAATCACAAAACTCGCCGTCTCGACTTCGCTCGAAAAAACATGGGAACCAACTGGGATAAGGTATTAAATTTAAAATTATCTATCCAAATTATCTTATCTTTTACAGGTAATTTTTTCGGACGAGAAAAAATTCAATCTTGATGGACCCGACGGATTCAAATCGTACTGGCACGACTTGCGGAAGGATCCAGCCGTTTTTGCCAAAAGGAATTTCGGGGGAGGCAGTTTGATGGTATGGGGAGCATTTGCTTCGGCTGGATACTTGGAGCTCGCTTTCACCACTTGTCGAATGAACTCCACAGACTACCAAGACGTTCTCCAGAACCACCTTATCCCGTTTCGTCGTCGATTCAGTCGCCGCCAGTTCATTTTTCAGCAAGATAATGCTGCAATCCATGTCAGCCGCTCCACTTTGGACTGGTTCCAATCGAAAAACATCGATGTCTTGCCATGGCCAGCTTGCTCTCCAGATCTGAATCCGATGGAAAATGTTTGGGGCGAGCTGGTTCGTCGTCTTTACCGCCATGGAAAGAAGTATGCTAGTATTGGAGAGCTTCGGGATGCGCTGATTGCTGAGTGGAGTCTGCTGGAGCAGGAGTTCAAGACTAAGAGCACCCAATACATCCAAAACCTTATCAAATCGATGCCAAATCGTCTCTTCGATGTCATTGCTGGTAAAGGTTCATCCACAAAGTATTGAAATATTTTTTATTCTCTATTTTAGCATTGATTCTGAGAGTGGACGTATAATTTTGAAACGGTTGCAAATGTCACATTTTCAGATTTTTCTCTGTATCTCGAGTAGTTTTCAATATTTTTTCTCAAAAATGGTTTTCTAGATGTAATTTGTTGCTCTGAATTCAATTTTAATAAAATTAGATTGATATCTCAACCGGTTCTCAAGTTACGGCCAAAAACAAGAGTGGACGTATAATATTGAAACGCACTGTAGTTATGCTCTGAACACACAAATAAATTGCTACTGAATCAAACGCCAGACAGAATAAAAATGATTTCTTTTTTTTCTGACGAATAGGAACGCCCTAGAACAGGTCCTAATAGTTCTTCTCATTATCATAAAACTAAGTCGTTATTACATGAACATATGTATCCGATAAGATCGATGAGGCATAGCGGCTCAGCAAAGAATGGACTTTCTTTTTTATTAGCCGAACTCACCGAAGAGAGGAGTAATGTAACAGTTCCGGTACAAAGGAAACGATGATAATGCGAAAAGTTTGACAGTACAAAACTTTAAAATTTCTAGATTATTTTGGCTTTTTTTTCGGATCGGATCACTAATAAAACTTTGCGTGCTAAAAGTTAATAAATAGAGTCTAGTCAGAAAGCTAAAAAATTGTCAAAAAAAGTTTTAAAATACTTTAGACATCAAGAAAAACAAAACAAAAAGATATTGCCCCGGACGGGATTCGAACCCGCGATCGGTTGCCCGAATGAGAACATAAGTCTCACGCCTTCGACCACTCGGCCACCGGGGCACATATTCTGAAAATTGTGAAACTCTGTCAAAAGGGACCCTTTTGGGGTAAAAAGAGTGGTTTCCGGGGTAATCGAGTACGAGGAACACGATGAAAACAACAACAAAACAATGAGGATGATATTAATTTGTGAAAACCTCATAAATAAGGCAAATACTCATTAGCTTGATGATCTTTTACTAAATGCTCACTTTCTAGATATGCTCATTTGCTAAGTTTGTTATTGTAGTCTAGTTATGCTCTGAACACACCGTTACATTGCCACTGAATCAAACGCCAGAACGAATAAAAATGATTTGCTTTTTTTCTGGCTAATAGGAATACATCTAGAACATGACTTAATAATTCTTCTCATCATAAGACTAAGTCGTAATTACATGAACACATGTATCCGATAAGATCGATGAGGCATAGCGGCTCAGCAAAGAATGGACTTTCTTTTCTATTAGCCAAACTCACCGAAGAGAGGGGTAATGTAACAGTTCTGGTACAAAGGAAACACAGTATAAAACTTAAAATTTTTAGATCATTTTGGTTTTTTTTCGGATCGCATCACTAATAAACTTTTCCGTTCTAAAATTTCATAAATACAGTCTAGTCAGATAGCTAAAACATTGTCAAAAAAGTTTTAAAATGCTTTAGACGTCAATAAAAAAATCAAAAAAGTATTGCCCCGGACGGGATTCGAGCACATATTCTGAAAAATGAGCAACTGGGTTAAATGGGACCTTTTTAGGCTAGAAAGGGGGAGAAAGGGGAAGAAAGGGGTAATAAAGTACGAGGAACACGATGAAAAGAATGACAAGACGATAAAATAATTCTGAAACTGTGAACATCTACAAAATATTTTGATTGTAATGTGCAACTTGGAAGTCAGTTCAGACAGCTGGTAGAATGAAGTTGGTCTGCACTTCATTGAAATTGCATGAGTATCAAGAATAGAAAATAGAGTTTCATTACAATGTAAATATAACAGTAATACCAAGTTCTACAATATGTATTCAGAAAACTACGTTCTTTTTTAAATTCCGATTTTTGGTTTCAGGTTTCAGAGTACCAATTGAAGTTCGGAAAAAGAGCCCCATTATAAAGTTCTAAAAAACCAGCCAAATGCTCCACTCATTCTGAAAATAATAAATACAATTCTGAATAAGCTGTGAAGGTCTCAAACATGATATTTCTCTTTTATGCAAACGGTGAAATTCGAAAAGATACACATTTTTAAATTCTCATAATTGTTCCGTTATCGTTCCCGCCGTGTTTTCTGTACTCGATCAAGAAAAAGAAATCAAAAGAGTATTGCCCCGGGCGGGATTTGAACCCGCGATCGGTTGCCCGAATGAGAACATAAGTCTCACGCCTTCGACCACTCGGCCACCGGGGCGCATATTCTGAAAAATATGCAACTGGGTTAAAAAGGATCTTTTTGGGGTAAAAAGAGGGTTGAAGGGGTTAGCGAGTACAAGGAAGACGATGGAAATGATAATAAGAAGATTTGAAAAACTCTGGTACTGTAGAAACCCTATAAAATATTTGGATTGTAATTGGCAAAGTAGACCTAAACATCAGTCGGCTGAAGTTTATTAAAATTGCAATGAGTAAACAGCAAGAATTTGAACGTTTTATTAAAATTGAAAGTACATTATATTCACTCCTCTTTACTAGCCTTTATTTTCAGCATACTCCTCGGAAATCCCGCCCACTATCAAAAGTTCCAGAAGAAGAAGGTGGCGACTTGTCTCCAGTTTTCCCTCGAGCTGTCCGTTTGCTCGAAACCAATGAAGGAATTGCTCCGGCAATTCGTCTCTCGAAAAACGAATCATACCTCTGAAAATTGAAATTTTCTCATTTTTAGTTTAGAGAAAAGTTCTTAAATCAACCGAACCCGTTTTCATGCCAAATTCCAATCTTGCTCATATTTTGAGACCAATGTTATTGATTCTTTCTGTTACAAATGTGTGTAAATTTTGTGATTCTTTTGTGATTCGTGAAGCTTTTTATTACATTTTCAGTACATTTTGATATGTTTGACAGCACTCCGTCACGGGCGTTGACGCCGCTGCTCTAGGTACTAGAACGGAAGTTTACTGATGGGTATGATGAGGGAAAAAAATAATAAAAAGGAGATGAAGCCGCAAAGAGCAAAAAAGGGAATCTTTGAAGATGGATTACTTCAGTTTTCTTTTCTATTATCTGAACTTTAGCTCTTGCCGATCGGATTTGCTTTTTGAACTTTGAAGTTTCGACTACTTTTTATTTGACAAAAATAAATTGGTCAAAAATTGAAACATATCTCAGTCAAGATTCATTCGGATGAAAAGTTAGTTCAAATGTTTGGAGTGGAAAGGAGGCGACAATGGAGATGAAAAACAGAAGCATGACTGACCACCTGAAACATGAAATTGATACAGTACCCAAATTCAATCTCCTCTCACCTATTTTCGATTCTTCTTGTCAGTTTTCCGAGATTCTACACTTGCTTTTGGAGCTTTGGAGGATTGAATAACAAACGACTTTGTCTTGCGTTTTGAACTTTCCATTGCTCTTCTTGACTGAAATTTTGAAGTAGGACGTGATTTGGTCGTGTTTTTGGAAGACGTAGCTGTTGAAGTTTTTGATGGTTTCACCGATTTCTCAACCTTCTCCGCTTTCTTGGTTGACTTCGTGGATTCCTTCGGTACCTTTAAGTCCCTGTTCTCCTTATTTTCGACTTTTTTGGTAGACTTAGCGGAATTCTTGACTGTCTCTGTATGCTTCTTCTCCACCCTTTGATTCTTCTCACTCAGTTTCATAGTCGACTTATCCACATGTTTCACCGGTTTCACTGAATCTTGTGAGATCTTTTTCTTAACTTCTGAAGTTTCAATTCTCGACTGTTTGATTGATTTCTTTGATTTTTTCTTATCCGCAGTCGGCGGAACAGAAACATACATAGATTTCGCGTCAGCTGGTTTCGAATGTTTCGAGAGTTCTCCATAAGACGACTTCCCAGTTTCAATATAAATGGATTTCACTGGGATATCCGATTTTCCAGACTTTCCAGATTTCTCAATTTTATTCTTTTGACTACTTGATTTTTCCTCTTTAACATTCTTTTTTCCAGATGCATCTCGCTTCTCTCTGGTTTCGTTTACAGATCTCTGTGAAGAAGTTCTTCTAACTTTCTGACAGTGGAGTGCATCTTTCGAGCATTGTCCTTTGCGACACCCGTCCTCGCTGCATTTGAATCGATCCGATTGGACGTTGGGTGACTAAAGTTTGGAAAAATAAGTTCAGGGAGAAAAAATATGTGGCTTAATTTTCTAATATACCGTAAAGCCTGTAATAGAAGGGCCCCCACATTGTCAAGTTTGAGCTCGATTCTAGGGGGTTTGTTTTTAGGTATCAGCCGATTTAGGAGTGTCGTGACCGACGAACAACTGTCGAAGTCAAGACGAAGGCGTGAAACTAAGGAGCACAGCTAATGTGTAAAGTATGTAAGGGATAAGATCATGGAAAGATTGGAGGAATTGGGTTAAAACAACTGTTGTAAGGAGGAGCAGAAAAATGAACAAGTATAAATATCCGTCATCTTGATATATCTAGATACCCCTTCGTTGCATTTGAGCAACTTTGTTATCGAGCTAATTAAACGACGAACCTTAACTATTGATATTTCTATTGATTGAACTATTTTATTGGCTTCAAGGGTTCTATGTTGGTCCCTTCTATTACAAGTTGTACGGTAGTTACAGTATCGGTCAATAAGATATACAAAAACGATTTTTTTCAGTTGATGTTGCCTATTTTCAGGAGTCTAGAGCTCGACTGTTAAGTCTCCGATCACTTTGAAAATTTTGGAAGGTGTGAAACAGACCGAGATTGAAAAATTTCATTCAAAGAGTTTTTTGAAAATTTCTAGTTTTTTCAGCTATTTACCGATTTTCGAGAAAGGCCTGTTTTTCATGCTTTCAGTAAAAAACTAGCCAAAAGGGGGGCCTTGCGGAAATCGGCAAATAATGTAAAAACTAGAGATTTAAAAAAAAAACTTTGAATGCAAAGTTTTTTGGGGTGAGGGTCAAGGCTGTCGGAAATAGGGCCGCGGCCGGCCGTGATTGAGGCCGTCGGTATGTTACCTATTCCAAAAGTGCCTGAACTGAAAATGCCTCGGCCCAATTCCGACAGCTTTGGTGAGGGTTACCAATTGGGGCTCAAAAAACGGGTGAGAAAAGGCGCCCCAGCGAAGTTCGGCGGCTAATTTAGAATTTTCGTGAAGTTTGTTGGGGCACACTTTCTGACCCGCTCTTTGAATGATGGTGGGTTACTCAATATTTTTGAATTTGGCGCCAAAAATTGTGGAAAGAAAATAAGGTGTCTCAGCTTTGAACGAAAAACATTGGAAACTTTTCAGTGAAGCGCTTTGTTTCCCTTCCACTGTGTCATTTGATAAATGGCGCCAAATTCAAAACATTCGAGTGGTCTCCCCCCAATTATTATTTCGGTCTAACAAGAAAAAAAGGTCGAGACTCAGAGAAAATGCGTCTGCGTCTCTACCTTAGTTTCCCATGAACGGTGGTAACTGGGGTCGGTATCCAAAAACTCACAACTAGCGGTTTCGTCTCCATCCTTCTCAATGCATCAGCTCTCATCTTGCTCATTCCAGCCTCCTTCTCTTTCACATCTTTGCTACTAGTCTTCTTCTCAAGCTTTCCAGATTTGCTACTTTTCTTATCACTCTTCTTATCAATTTCAATTTTTACGCTTTTCTTGCTCTCTTTGCGCTTCAGTTCAGCCTCTTTTTTGTTACTTTTGGAACGTTCTTCGTCAACTCTCTTCAAGCTTTTTCTCTTTTTCAATGGCTCTTTATCTTTTCCTGTTCTTGAACCTTTTTTCGAATCCTTCTCATATTTGTTGCTTTGAGAACTTTTCTTTCTATCCAAACCACCACTTTTCTCAATTTCAGCAGATTTTTTACTTCCGGATCTTTCCTCCTTGTGAGTATCTCGTGAACTTTTCTTCTTTCTCAAATCTTGATCCTTCGAACTAGATCTGTTACTCTTCGCGCTTTTCTTTTTCTCCAACGGAACTGTAAAACTCTGGGATTTTTCATCGCGGCCACTTCTCGAACTGTTCTTCTTCCTCTTTCCATCATCTTCCTTTGAGCTTCTCTTACTACGTTCCACCTTCTTCTTCTTTGATTCCGCTCCTCTATTTTTATCACTTTTACTACTTCTCGCACTCTTCTGGTTCGACTGTTCTTTTTGCCTTCTTTCTTCCTTGTTACTTTTTTCACTACGGCTTTTTTCACTTCTCGTACTTCCGGCGCTTTTGGAAGTTGCTTTTTTCTTGACAGGTAAATCTTTTTGACTGGAATCAGATTCCTTTTTATTCAGAGGAGATTCATCTTCTTTTCGATCACTGGAATCTTGTTTTTTGTCCTTGGAACTGTCTCTTCTGGATCCTTCCTTCTTCGAGACCTCTCTTTCGCTTTTGTCATTTACTCGTTTTCCTTTTTGACTCTTTCTACTGCTCACTTTTCTTAACTGCTTCTTACTTTTCGAACTTGATCTTTCTCTGTTATCACTTCGATTCTTCGATCGCTTAGCCTTTTTTGATTTTCCTCTATTTCTTATCATTTCCCGATGTCCAGCAGTACATCCGATCGATATGACAACGCCAGTAATGGAAGCTGTTGCAGCAAGACATACTGAAATTAGAAATGAAGAATTCTATCGAAAAACCGAGCTTACAGTAATTTATAACATCTTGAAGTTGTTCCGACTGCAAACTCATTTTGGTAACAAAGTAAAAATAGAAAGTTTATTCCAAGGAGCACTGTGGACTCATGATGATAATCTTTTGAATTTGCACTGCCACGCCATAAAATTTTTGAGTTTTTGGAAATCCCTTTGAATTGAAAAAATGTAATTTGTCGCACCCCCTACGGGGTTGCAACCTGGATATATTTTTTGCCTAGCTCTTATGTGATAGAGCTAGTAAGCACATACTTGTCAAGCTCTACAGTAACCCAACAACTATCCAATTGGCCATTCTATCTACGATCTCTGGCTCCGGCGCCTCCGGTGACTCGTAGGTGACTCCTCCAGGAGTGTCCCAATGTGTGTGGACCCCTGCGGAACCTATTGAGCCCAGCAGATAACTAACTCTAGTAGATTACTTTGCCAATAAACTAATCGTTCTCTATCCTGTCTTTCACTACACAAGCATAACAATCCCTCACACCATACAGCATACAAAGGTCACAGCTTAGGGGTTCCACCGGCCCTTATAATAAGCTGCGACATAATTATTTAATTGGATCGAGGACAACAATTATACAGGGTGGCACAATTGACCTGACTAAAGTTTGTATTATCATAACATTTGAGTAGAGCGTTGTACTGGAGTCAAAATTGAAATGAAAACATTCGAAGAATTCATCAGTAAACTGGCCTAGTTTCAAATGATTTAATCAACTTTGGGCTTAGTTATCGCTTGTCAAAGTTGCTTCATCTCATGAGAATCAGAACAGCGTGCCAGAACCATTAAGCCATTCATCTTTGGACAATCATAACAATACCTAGACTTTTGAAAATTAAAGTAGTTCTGAATCAAAAGTAAAATTATATTTTCACAAGTTTTCGTGCTTCCAAGATACTTACTGTTTTTATCAGTCTTGGTAATTGGGCTCCATCGTGTATACAATTTTAACAACTACGAAAAACCCGTTTACTCAATTGATATTGGTTCCTGTGAGAGATATCGGACCCATTTTCGATATTTTGATAAAGTTGTTGTTAGTTGATCACTTTTGATATTTTCTGTTTACTTTGAACAATAAAAAAATATTTTTTTACAAAACATTTATGTATATAATGTTTTTTTTGTTCCTCTCTTTGAAAACTAGGCAACAGACGAGTATAAACATGTTTCAGCACTATTCAAAGGGTCACTCGTAAAATCTGAAGAAGAAAGAATCTATAATCGTCTGAATTCTGGATCAAAAAATTTTTTCGGATTTATGAAATCGAAATTTAAAGGAAACAGTGATATACCGGCAATTCGATATAAATCTAATGAGAATGTTATCATGAGTGATGAAGGAAAAGCCGAAATATTTGGAGATTGCTTCAGTGAATTTTTCAACATTGACAAAGATATCCTTCCTTCTACAGGGAATCTAATTTCTAAGTTCAGCTCAGATGTCATATTCACGCCGGAGAATATCGAGTTATTACTATATAAACTGAAAGGCCGAAATAATACTTCTCCGGATAGTATCCCGTCAATATTTCTGAAAAGAGCGTGTACTCCTCTTGCGATTCCACTATGCATTATATTCACAGAAAGTTATCGAGTTGGAAGAATACCAAAATCTTGGAAGGAGGCGATTGTTATGCCGCTTCATAAGAAAGGCTCCCGCTCCGATCCTTTAAATTATAGACCAATCTCTTTAACATCCAATATATGCAAAATTATGGAGAAGTTGATACGAAAACATCTAGTCCAATACTTATCCGAAAATAATCTATTATCAGAAAAACAATTCGGGTTCCTTAATCAGAGAAGTACAATTTCCCAACTGATCGCCTACCAGAACAAGCTTGTTTTCAATTCTTTAAATGGGTTAGATACCCATAGCGTCTATATTGATTTCCAGAGGGCCTTCGATACAGTGCCGATAAACAAATTGATTCATAAGTTGGAAAGCTTTGGGATATCTCCCAAACTAAGAAATTGGCTCCATTCATTTGTCACGGACAGAAAATTTCAAGTCAAATCAATGATATACTATCGAAGGAGAGGCGCGTATTGTCCGGAGTCCCGCAGGGATCTGTTCTTGGGCCTACCCTCTTCTTGTTATATATTAATTGTATTGGTGACAAATTTCAAAGTGACTATCTACTGTTTGCAGATGACTTGAAAATTTATGATACGAATGATAGATTGATTGATGCAGATTTAATTGAATTGGAGAATTGGTGCTCGAAGTGGAAAATGAAAGCGGCTCCTAAAAAGTGCGAATACATCAAATTCAATGCAACAAGAAAATATGCCAACTCCAATGTTATGAATCCCAAATTAAATCAAGCTTTGATTCCCCCTGTGGAAAATGTCCGTGATCTTGGAATCTACTTTTCCAGTAACCTGAGTTTCCATTATCATTATTCGTTGATTATTCGGAAATCACATCAGAGGATCAACATGTTCTTTTCCATTCTAAAAAACGCATCGTGGAGTGTTTTTATAAAATGCTATACAATTTACATACGCCCTTTACTCGAATATGGAACGATAGTCACTTCTCCAATTCTAAAGGATCATATTATAAAATTGGAATCGGTGCAAAAGTCATTTGTTTTCAGAATTTTCAAAAAATTCAGGATGGCATACACTTCATACTTTGAAGCACTGGAAGAATGCCAGCTAAGTTCCTTGGAGTATCGCAGGCTCTATAATGATTTGGTCTTCACGTATAAAATTATTGTTTCCAAAGAAATTATCATGGAGGTTCCAATTTTCGAAATATTTAATCATGCTGGATCATTGCGACGTCACAAATACTATCTCAAATCACTTATCAAAAACTCAACAAAAATATCTTCTCAATTTCTCTCTAATAGAGTAATCAGATGTTGGAACTCTTTACCCGCCAATGTGTTTCCGGTAAAGCCCTCGTCAGCGGCTTTCAAAAATCGACTATTATCCTGTGATCTAAAACATTTTCTTGTCTTGAATTCAACTAATTACTAACTCGGTTTATCCTTCATCTCCCAATTACTACAAATGTATGTCCCTGTTATATCTCCTAGTTTCATAGACATTTCACGTGTTAGTGGTTTTCTCCCCTTCGTTGAAATAAATAAATAAAAAATAAACAGACGTTCTTCTTTTTTTCCCTTCTTCTTTTTACCTTGTTTATCAAATTGTTCCAAAACTTTCTATTTCGCAACACGAAAATTAAGAATGAGCAAGAGCTGACGTGTAGCAATTTTTTCAAACACTTTTTTATTTTGAATCGAGAGACAGAGACGACATACATTTTGTCATCTACTGGAACAAACCGAATGAAACTGGCTGAACGAAAAAGTATTCACACCAAAGACAGTTATTTCACACCAACGTTTCCAAATTTTCAAATTTATCGTCCTTGATTTTTGTTTACACTAGTTCCCCTGGCATATGTTGTCCCTTGTCTCCATTTTTCATTTCATCTTCGTCCTCTGTGTCATTGTCAAAAGAGAACCGACTCCCAAAAATGTTTCAACTTCAAATATAAAATCGTTGACTACAGTATCCATATTCTCACATTTTGCTTGATTTGACATGAAAAAAGAGTGAGAGTGAAAACAGCTTGATCTTCGACAGAACTATTTTCAACCCTTTTCTTCGGTCTTTATTTTCAAAATTTTCGAATTATTCTTGTTTTCTCCCTCTCTCCTGCTCCCTGTTCTAATCGTATTTTTCATCGGTTTCTCAGATCTCCTTTTTTATTTTCCTGAGAATAAAAGTATGATGAACTGAATTCCTTATTCTTCTTTCCTTCTGCTTTGTTCCGTCTTATTCATTTTTTTCTCATGCTTTCGGAAAGTTTGAACAACTTTCAGTTTAACTTGTTTTTTGCATCATAGATATTTTAGATACTTTCTAAATCTGAACTAAAAAATTTCGTTCACTGCCGCCTAAATTCCCCTTTAATGTTTTTTTCAAAAAGTTTCAAAATTTATTCGATTTTTTCAAAATGTTTTTCCTACCTTCTTCCGAGTTTTTTTTCGTTTTTATTCATTATTCTTTCTTCCTGGTTTTAAAATATTGTTCCGTCTTCCTGATTTTTATTTTCCTTCTTGCTTATTCTTTCTTCCGGATTTCCAAAAATTTTAATCCGCTCATCTCTGACTCCGACAGTTTCACATAACCACCCAATGGTTTGATTTAAGGTCTCTTTGTTAGCGCAAATCAGATTACTATCTAGAAGATGTGACACTTATAAACACGCCTCTCTTACTATCATCCCGGCTTTCTTAATTGAAACAATTTGTCGGGATCCTGTGATCATCATAAATCAAAAGAGAGGTCAATCGTGCGTGTCTCCTTCTGCCCGCCAGACATATTTTTTCGATGCGAGTTGCCGCAAAAGAGAGCTGTGTGTCTCGAGGCTGACCTTTTTTACAGGCAAGATGTTCTCACTTTTTTGATTGAAAGATGTTAAAAAAGTCCGCACCTGAAATTTTGGACCTAATAACTAAATTTTAAAGTCTCCCTTTTCTATGCTTACCTTTCCCAACCTTTTCTGTTTTTACGCTTCACCTACTACCGTACCCCCTTCCGACAGAAATTACATGAAAATTAACTGGAAGGTTCAACTTTGAAATATTTTTAACACTGAACACGAAACTGTCGCCAAAAACGAGGGCGCAAGACAGAATGTCTGTTTTCTATACATTTCGCAACTTTTTTTTTCGAAAATTTCCTCCTCTCCTGCTCCCTGTTCAGATCGTATCATCACTTTCTCAACTGTTCTTTTTAATTTGCTGAGAGAAGGTTCTTTGGCCGTTGTGATAGAACGAAGCACACAACCGAAAACTACTGTTAGCTAAATGTATATTTTTCCTAGCGTCTCCTCAGTTTTCAGCAGAGATCAGAGGAATTTTTTTTTCATTCTTCCCGTTTTTCAAAATTCTCATTCTGTTCATCTCCGGTATTCACCCATTTTTCGATTGTTTTCTTTTTAAAAGTTTTTTTTTATGTTTGGGATACGATCAACCAAATCTTTCATTTATTCAGATCATTTATTCAGACCATTCTCGCCATCAGAGCACTTGCTCGCGATAAAATTTCCAGTCCATTGATTGACACATGCAGTATTTATATAATACCAGCCTGTTCGCCGCGCCTCCGGCGCTTCAAACAGCTGGAATTAACTTTTCTCTTTTGCTCTTCGTCGCTTCGCGACTCACTTTTTTTGGCTCTTTATGACAAGGGCCATGAGAAAAGGGGGGCCCAAGTCAAAGGGGGGGGGGGGGGGGGGGGGGGGATAGGTAAAAATGTGGACCAAGTTAAGATTTACCAATTTTTTCTAGTTTTTCGAATGTTTCTATAAAATTTCGTATTTTGCGCTTGTTTCCACAAAAATTTGTCACTTCAAAAAATTTCAGTTTAGGCCGGTTTTTTGTATGAACAACACTATTTTTTCCATTGTAACTGTGTAATTTGAAGTTATTCAGCTAGTTTCAGATTTTTCCAGGCTTAGTAACAAAAAAATAGACAAAAAATATGCAAAAAAAAACGACATAAACTGAAATTTTCAAAAATATTATGAAAAGTGTTCAAAGTTCGAAATTTTAATGGAAACGGTCACAAAACTTGAAAAAATTGGTAAATCTTAACTTAGTCCACATTTTTACCCCCCCCCCCCCCTCGCGGATTACAAGGTCCTTCTTTCAAGTACCGTAACACCTGTATTAGAAGTTCTAAATCAAATTTACATCTAGAAAGTTCGTAGAATTCTTGAAAATTTAAATTGGAGGGTCCTTCCTATCTTCCTAGGGGCCTTCCTATCAAAGATGCTCTTCTATTTTTCTGAAAATCTATGTAAAACACTTATTTCAAAACACTGGACAACAAACTGATTCCAGAAAGAGAGTGTCTTGGAAAATTTCTTAACTGTAGTTTTTTTCTTCTCCCTCTCCCGCTCTCCATCAGACCGTATTGATTTCTCAGTTTTCCTTTTTTATTTTCCTGATAAAAAACATGTGATCGTGGATTTTTTATTTATATTTCTTCTTCGTTCTTCCACCTTTCTGATCCTTTCTCATTCTTCCGCATCAATTCCTATAGCTAAATCTTAAATTCTAAAAATCGTTTCTAAATTTTTTCTCTTCCTTCCTTATTCCTTGTTTCTTCTTCTTGATTTTCATATTTTTCATCCCGCACATCTCTGGTTTTCAACAGTTTTTCGGTTGTTTTCTGGAAAAATCGGAACAAATGATTTTTTTTCAAATTTCAAAATTTCGGGATACGGTAGTTTTTTCTCAACCACAACCCACAACCATCCAGAATCCATAAATTGCTGCCCGGTGAACGTGAGACTTCGCTTTCAAAAACCACTTTCAATTTGAAATTCTTAAATTTAGCCTGGCCTAAAAATTATCGGGAGCGAGATTTCTGAATTGGATTTTGGAACCTTCGGACTTCTCTCATTTATTCAGTTCACTATAGTAAACATATCATCTAAAGATTTAACACTCTTTTTGATTTCCAAACATTAGGGGTACGGTAACAACCATTGCAAAATGATAAGAGTGTCAATGACGTGCATCGGTTTTTTCAGCTTCATTCTTGTCGTCCGAGCACTTGCATGATTGACAGATTCTGTTTTTAAAATATAAAATGCGTTCTCCTGGTCTTAACATCATTTCCATTTTGTCTATGCTGCCTTCCACTCTATTCTTTCATTTCTTCTTTGAATGTTTATTTGCTCAAGAACACACAAATTCTAAAGAAGTGTAATCTTAAATGTGTGAATACTAACTCTATTGAAAGTGACTAGTTACTTTTTTCTCTGGATACTGTAGTGTATGATCATTCTTCTTGAACTATCGTACAACTTGTATTAGAAAAACCGGCCCTTTTATTGTTCCAAGGTACCTGGGTTCTATTACAGGAGCTCTTCAATTAGAGGGGCCCCTTCTATTTTTCCGACGTTTTTTCCCAAAATTCACATCGAAAAAATTGGATAATTATCGTTGGAAATTCATACATTTTAATTTCACCATAATTGAGAAAGTTTTCGAGAAAAATTTTTTCACAAATTTCAGTAAAATCATTCGAAAGAAAACTATTCATTTTCAACCTTTTTGAGTAAATGGTGTTATGTCTTTTCCGTAACCATCCTACCCGTATTTTTCTCTGAGTCTCCTCTCTCAGTCAACCATCTCTGCTTCTTTGAATTTCATCTTACGTCAGATCGTTTTTGCCTGTCCCACACAGTTATAACCTTTTTTTCAGTCGCAACCAACAGGAAACAGCTAAAATGAGCGACTTCATTCCCCATTGGGAACCACCACCACCTGGTGATGACTCGTTTTCGAGGTGTGACGGAGTTACGGGTTATGAAATAGAAGATGCTATCGAAAAAGAAGACTTGGGTAATGCGATGGACAGGTTGATCTACGGAAACAGCATCGAGAAGGTGAGAATTGACTTAACCAGATGGACACCCGTGGCTAAGCCCTGCCTGTTAGGGCAAATAATCATTTGCTGCCAGATCATTTGCTACCGGATCATTTGCTACCGGTGATCAATTGCTACCAGTTATCATTTGCTACCAAATGATCATTTGCTATCGGTGGTATGTCGCTACTAAATTAACTGCTATCAAACAAGGAGCCTGATGCTGAACATAAATTGGCAAATGGTCAATAGAATGGGATCTGACAAGTTGATAGTTTGGAACAATTGCTATATGTCTAGTTGATATGATACAGTTTCTATATTTTCTCTCAGAAATATTCAGATTCTGAAATTCTAAAATCCTTCAGATATTATGAGATTTGGAAATTCTCAGACTTCGAAATTCTGAAGTTCCGAAATTCTTAGATTCCGAAATTCTGAAATTCCAAAGTTCTGAAACGCTAAGAATTCTGAGATTTTCAAGCTCTGAAATTCAGGAATTCAAACTCCCTCACAATCAGAAAAATTGTACCCCCGAATCACGAGTGTTGAACCCCCCCCCCCCCCCCCCGAGCTTTTGGCCTGAAATAAGGGAGCCGATAAAATTTACAGTTTTGTGGCACAACTGTAAGACATGTATTGCTGTAAGACGTGCATTGGGTCATAAAAGCCCCATTATTCACACACAACAACTTGTACCTTTCATATCAGTTGTGTCTTTGAAATCTGGAGAAAATATAGAAACTGTATCATATCAACTAGACATATAGCAATTGTTCCAAACTATCAACTTGTCAGATCCCATTCTATTGACCATTTGCCAATTTATGTTCAGCATCAGGCTCCTTGTTTGATAGCAGTTAATTTAGTAGCGACATACCACCGGTAGCAAATGATCACTTGGTAGCAAATGATAACTGGTAGCAATTGATCCGGTGGTAGCAAATGATCCGGTAGCAAATGATCTGGCAGCAAATGAGTTTCTTGAATTTGAAGTTATATCCAATAAAAAAGTCTTATAGTTTTTAGTTCGAAAGGTTTATGACCAATTTTTGTACGCGACACTCAAATGAACCCAAAATACTCTTTACAAAGTTTCATCAAGTTTTACCAATTTTTAACACATTTTGGAAAATTTCGGCCCAGGCAGCATACGCATGAAGCGCTCGGTAGTCCATGACTACATACCACACACCACTATACATAGGAGTCCCACGTCCCGTTGAATTATTCAATTAAAAGTCCAAGACATACGGGCACACACACACATACAGAAAAGTTTCAATAGTAATGCGATTATTCATCTAGGTAAAAACTTTGTATTTTACCTACCGTATTTTCTCTAATTGTAGCCCATGGGCCTCCTTTTCCACCTCCTTTGCAAGAATTTACCAAAAACTGAAATCAACATTTTTTAAATAGAAAGAAAGTTTCTGCAATAACCGAGTAGACGAACTGCACTGTACAAACGAAGTTTACCAAAACTAAGCCCACATCACAATTTTTCAAATTCAATACATTTTCAGATGGAAACAAGCGAGGACGAGATTGATAGCCTACCGGAATTATCTGAAAACGACTTCTCTGGAGGTAAAATTGTAAACCATTTTTATGACAGAAAATTATAACTTTTCAGAATCCCCACCACTATCATCATTGTCTTCGTTGTCGATGGACCAGCAAGGAATGGGAGACGTCAACACTGGTAAATTCGTTCTTTTTAGAATAAAAATCTTCAATTTGTTTCAAGTTTCAGAAATCTCTTCGCCATGCCACCAAGGAACTCTGGCTAAGGATGCAGCTCTAGGCACTGATCGTGAGATACAGTATGGATCTGATACGCTTGCTGAATCAGGACCTACAACGCTTCGAGGCGTCGTTATTAAGCGAAGAGATTCCGGTGCGTACAATTTTGAGATACTTTCACCATTGAAAATGTTTAATTCGAGACTATAATTTCAGATTCGTCCATTCAATTCCCAAATCGCAGGACTGGGTCTCGTCTGACTTCTGGAAGCAGCTCTGGAAGTTCTTTGAAGGATTTCAAAACTCGTCGGACTCAAAAGGAGATGAAAGCTATGGTGAGTGTTTCTATAGTCGAATTGCTCAAAATACCATAAAACTGAAAGTATGATTTTGAAAACTAGCAAAGCGGAATCGCCTATTGCGCATTTGACTAGTATTTTCTATCGTTTAGAGGGAATGAGATATATAAGCTCAAAGTGACGGTTTGGCTAGCACTTTATTGAAGTGTTTACTGTAGTCAGATACTTGGTGGCGCGTAATTACCCGGACTGAAAAAAACGGGTATATATTCAGACATAAGTACCCTGAAGGCACCTAAATTGGTACCGAAATTTTCAAAGCGATTCCTCAGAATTCACCAAATAATTTGAAATATGGCCAGTTTACTGATGAATTATTTGAATTTTCCCATTCCAAATTCGAGTCCAGTAGCTCTACTCAAATTTTATTCTATAGTACAAATTCTAGTCCGGGTAATTATGCGCCACCCTGTACATACCAAATTTGGTGACTAGCTTCAATATATATAGAAATAGAAACAATTTAAAATTATCGAACACAATATTTTTTCTAAAAATTAAAAAACACTGTATTTTTCTGAATCATGGTTAAATTTCAGACTAAAGAGGAAAAACGAGAATTGCAAAAATCTCAACACAGAGCGAATTTCAAGAATAGCCTGCAAAAGAAGAAAAACAAGAAGGCGTCTCTGGAGGAACATTCGAAGGATCTGGATGTCGAGTTGCGGGGTGGCCTCGAATCATTGGAACAGTTAGAAGCTGCATATAAGGAAAAGTTTCCTGATTCAATTGCTCGAAAAAACAATATGGGTCATCTGATTGAAAAGGAAAACCAGGACTGTCGCAAGAAATTGGAAGAGGTACATAACAGAAATTTCAGTTAACAAACAATATATTTTCCAATTTTAGGAAGTTCGGAAACTGGAAATCAAACTGAAAGGGATCGCGAAGGAGAAAACTCTCGCAGGAATAAAAAAGACATCTAATGCCTCCGCAAAGTGTCGCACTAAACTGAAGCTAGAGATCGCTTCGCTGGAGCTGAAAGTTCATCAGCAGGAAACGAAAATCGTGCAGATGGATATGATTATTAAGTACCTTAAAGAGGCTCTTGGAGTGAAGTCTATGGAGGGTGACGATAACCAGCAATTACTCACTGGTTCGTCTGTTTCCGGCACACCGTTGTTTAGAGATTCCGATGACTCGGATTTGTTCCCTCCCACTCTCCAATCTTATGGCACACCAAAGCAATCTGCGGATTCCATCTCGCGTCAGTGTCATCGAGACACTAACATTGCCAATTACATCAACTTCAATGGAAATTCGGAAGGGTTTTCGAACTCCATTCCCGTCGATTGTAACAAAGAGGTGTTCGACAATCAAATGGACTCTACAGGAGGTGGGTTCTTCTAAATTTAAAAAATAACAACTTTCGATTATTTCAGGTCCAATGTTAACAGCGGAAGAGCAGTCAGCAACTCTCGCAGTATTTGATGGAAACGTTTCGGACCAAACCATTGCTCACCAGTTTGATGACTTTTCGGTAACCTTTTAAGTGTCTTAACAATTAATTTTCTGAATTTTTCAGATTAATCAACTAATGGAACAGTACGATGCCAAACCAGAGCATCCAATGGATACAAAGAACACTCGATCAATGATTTCCCATTTGAACAACTCAACAATATTCAATTGTTTGGAAGGTACGACTGAACGACTCATCTACGAGTCAGCGCCCCCTCTCAATATGATGACAGAGAATTCAAACTGTCCTGTCCCCCAATTTGGGGAATCTGCACCTATGGAGAGCAACTATCTTCAAGGTCAATACAATTATGCAAGGATCCCTAGCAAGGACCCTTATTCACCTTCAATGCAGGAGACAGCCAATGTCTCTGACCAGAGTTCAGCTCAATGGACTCTTCCACTCATCTCTACTATTTTTACAAATTCGGAGCCTTTGAGGGAAGCAACCCCAGCGATCAGTTCGGCAGGAATGGGAATGCATGAATTTGTGGGCAACGGAATAGGATGGAATCAGCCACCAGGTTTCCCGGATAATCAAACTATGGTTTCTTCTTCTGGTTTGCCGTACCCTAACTCGGGGAAAAGTGGTCAACAATATGACGCATCTTCGTCCAACACAATTACTCAGAATACTTCTACCAACTACGTTACAATGCAGGAGCAGTCCTTTTCTACGTCAAGATCAGCTAACGATGGCTATGCTCATCATTTTCACACATGTGATCCAATTTTTGGTTGCACAGATGGTTACAACAATGGATCAGGTATCGATGAGAGAATCAACTATTAAAAATAAAAATTGTGCATTTCAGAATCAATGCCAAGAATTACTGACAACTCGGACAACTCACAACGAAATTTTTGTCCCAATGAAATGACAGACTACATATACGGCAACTTTGTGCCACATGGTATGTCGGATCACTCATTGATCGGGCAGCAGAATCACGATATGACAACAGGAAGTCACTACGGTACACCCGATTTTGTAGGCTCGGGATCAATCCCAGATAAGTACTCAGAAATCTAATGTGTTCTTACACACGTATATAACTTCGATTTGGTATTACTTATTCCAATACCATAAAATTTTCTTGTTTACTATGGGAGTGGGGTTTTGTTTATTTTAAAAAACCCGGGGTTTTCCGGAATCCCTCATCCCATATTAACAAGTCCATCCATTCTTGATCCATTCTTGATTCTTGATCCACGCGTTGTGTTCATCCCAATTTTCTTATTCTCGATAATTTTCTGCTTCCCAATTTCTTGTGACTTCCATTTGCATCCCAGTTTTCTAACTTCTAAACTTGTTCATTACGCATTTCTTCTCATGTTCTATTTCATCATGTATTTTCCGGGCTTTTCCCTTCTCACATGTTCTTATTATCACCTGTGTGAACAACGTTTCCAACTGGTTACAATAAAGGTTTTTCCTGGACAAACTTGTTTTTGTTTTTTCAGGTATGCGACTCAGGAATTGTCTTTGATCGAACGAAAAAAAAAAGACAAAAATATTAAGAGTTTAGAATTACTGACAAGAAATCACAAATGACTAATACTCCACTGAGCTTTTTCAGCTACAAAACATGAAAATCTGGAGATCAAAAGCGAAGATGAGACGGAAATAAATACGGATTAGACATCAAACTGAATACATTTTTGGAGGTGATTTGGGGATTAGCAAAGGGGAAATAATTTGACTACAAACTATGAAAGTTAAACAAAAAAAAATTTAATTTTTGAAATTCAATTTTCACTGCGCAAAAAATCCAGAATATCTGTGAAGAGATTTTTCTTGACTTGCTGAGGATGAACGATTGGGTATAGAGACGAAAAATGATGGATATCTTGTTGGGTCTTGATGATAATTGAAGTAAGAGAGAGGATTTCAGGGAATCGGGATGGTCCATAGGAATGTACATTACAATTCTGGAGAAGCGCTTGTCCATATGAATCTCGATGTGCAGCAAGGAGGATTCGTCCAGATTGAGACATGTCTGTGACTGCTGAAAATGCTCTTAAATGTGAGATTTATTCGTCTTTGTCATACTAACCAGGATTGCAGAGAATGATTGCTCCCAACAAGAGAAGCTCCTCTTCTGTCACACGCAATTCTCTCATTCGACCAATCAAATTGCCTTTGATACCTTTCAGAAATTCGTTGTTATAACCATTGACTTCTTTTGGAAACACATCAGATCCATCTGGATGGCACATTACTTCAAGTCCTGCAGAGTAGGAACGCATGGCAGTGACCAGAATCATGTACATGAGGTGAGAGTACTTGAACAGCACCTTGACATCAGCTGGTGAGAGATACATCATGAAACGGAATTTGGTTGCAAAGGCGATACAAGATAGATGGTTCATCACTCCCCAATCATAGAAATCGAATTCGGTACCTGGCGCTTTTGGCTCAAACACAGTCAGTTTTCTCTCAAACATTTCGGTCGCTGTGAGATTTGATGGAATCTTGGAATTCAACAAATTGTTCTTTCTTTCCTGATCCTTAATCATCAAATTCACTATGATTCTCGCTGTATCCGGACCATCCACACTTTTGAAACATCTCATTCCAGTTAGCAAGCATCGATGAAGACGACAGTAGCGGCATTTCTCAACACCACTGAAATTGCAATTCCATTGTCTTTTGCAAGAAATTGCTATTGGAGTTTTCATGGCTCGACTGAAGAACATCTTGCATGAGTTGCAGCAGATAACCTGAATAATGGAAATTCGAAATAGAATATTTCAAAAATACTCGTACTCCATAATTGAATGCGATTTTCTTACTACCACAGACGGCGCACGCGGTTCCGTAGACCAAACTTTGCTGTGCGGGAAAGGTGGGTTCTGGAGATCCCGATTCCGGAGAGCTCGCTTCTGGAGAGCTTGGCTCGAAGCTATCGAATGACATCATGAGCTCTGAAGTATGGAAAACGAAATTAAGAGGATGTGAGAAGGTATTTTTATGAATAGGTACCATGAGCACTTTAATATAGTGTCATCAACACTGTCAGCTTTAAGCTTAACTACCTCGGTTTCTGTGAAAGATATCAATACTTTTTCAGTTGATAAATTGTTCATCATAATATCAGAGGTGTTTTGTCAATTGACAAACTTTAGTATCTTCCGCAGGAATCGAGATACTTGAGCTGAAACCTCTCGCTTTTGAAGACAAACAATTTCAGTTTTCTGACGTCTTCGCAACACTTCCGATTCACATAAAGAGTACTTCCAGAAATCAGCCGATTTGTGAAAAGAGGAGATCACGAGAACATCGGAAAATCAGAAAAAATTCAAGAAATGCAGACTAAGATTTTTTTTTCGTCTCTCAACATCCCACTTTTCTAACTTCTGGCTACTAATCTGGACTTCAGAATCATCAAGAACATTTCAGACCACTCATTTTCAGGAGTCTCACAGAAATACATAACTAAGAAGTGCATGAACAAATCAGATTGATCACAAATGGAATAAGCGAAAAAGCAGCAGATTAAGAGATCAAGGAGCAAAAAGTTATGTGTGTGTGTGTCTAACGTGCTTAACTTTGTAGCACATGCTTTGTGTTTATTGAAAAAAAGAGGAAGGATAGAAGCTCAAAATAGATTCATTTTTTCTTAGACACTAGAAAGACACGAGGGTGTATAGATCATTAAAAGTTTTGAAAAGAGAGAGCTAGTGAGTAATAATAAATCTCACTATGTCTAAACTTGTGGGAATACTGCGGGAAAGAATCATAAATGATCCTCCTACTCCTTTTTTGGCCAACCATAAAGTCTAAGAAATCGGGATTTGGAACTGCGAGAAGCTCCTCAAAGAAGAACATCCAGTCATGCAAAATAGTGCGGATTAGTCAATCCAACCAGACTTTATATAGGCCGCATTTTTGTGAACTTACGAAAAATTGTTGAATGATGTGCACTGCTTGGTTCACATGGCACATTCGAGATTAGAATTTTGGTCTTCTCCTTTTCTTATTTTTGTAGCTTCCTGCGGAGAATACGATTCAGATTGTAGTGAAAGAGAAAGTCTGAAACTCGGGCGAGATCAGGAACAATTGGTTTCTTGAACTTGGAAAGAAATTATTATTGAAGATATGTTTTCAAAAACAGAGGTCTCGAAATGAATAAAATGGCTACTTAATAATAAAACTTGCCAAAACAATATCAACTTTGGATGGTGCCAGTTGATAATCATCATCGTCAGATCTGCTACACCAATGCAAAGAAAAATTAAAAGAGGTATTGAATAATGGTGGAAGACATTAGATTTACAATCAATAATTACATTTAGAGCCAAAATTTCATAAGTTTATCACTTTCTCTGCCTATGTACCGGTAATTCAGAGTTCTTAATTATAGAGGATTTGAATAATTGGCAACTGGAAAATTCAAAAAAATTTTTGAGACCCGGCTAGTGGGAAATTCTGAAATTAGAATTTCAAATCCAAGATACAGTAAACGGAACCCAGAATGTTGAGGCAGGGGGCGTAAACCGACTGTTATTATGTTTATAATTATTCATTGAATCTCAATTTTTTGCAATTCTGGTATTCTGGAATAATAACATGATGTAACATGAATTCTAGTTCATTGACAGAATTTCTAACTTCTGCAGGTGATCGACCCAAAATATATAGAACCATGAAAATCTACGTGAAACCCGCCAACTCCTCTGTATCCAACTATCTGAAATCAGTTTTCAAATTTTCATAAATCTCACTCTCAACCTAGAAATGGTTCAAGAAGAAAATGATACTCTTCAAGATGATGATCCAGCAACATTGGCAGCAATTGCAGCCGCAGCAGCGGGTCCGAAGAAAAAAATGACGAAGATCACGAATGGAAAGAATGAACCAGCTTTTGGATTGAAGTTGACACCTGAGCATCTGGTTTTTAAGTATATCAGCTACAATCCAGGATTTGCTTCCTTCACCATAACGAATACGAAACCGGACCGACAGGCGTTTAAAGTAAGGGTGAATTCGTTTGAAAAGGGTTTCTCAGTTATCATTATTAGGTCAAATCAAGTGACAACAATATGTATAGAGCAAAGCCAAGTGTCGGATTCATCACGGTAATTTGAATTATCATAATTTTCAAATATTTATTTATTTTTTCAAAAAAGTTTAGCCCGGCGACCAAGTGCACATTCGAATCATCTACTTTAACACCAACCAGGTTCCTCCACAACCGAACGAAGTGAAGAAACACGTGGCAGTGTATCATGTGTCGGCTGGAAATGCGAAGACGTACAAAGAAGCTTTTGCGAAGAAGGTGGACGGCGTACATCATTACTTTTGTAACCATGCTGCTGATATGTTTGGTGCAGCTGCAGATGAAAATTCGCAGGATGGAGAGAAGAAGGATGAAAATAAATGAATAGTCTTTTTTCGTCTCATAGTCTTTAAGTCTTTTTTGAACGCTTCATTTTATACGAAATGTGTTCTGATGTCGTTTTGGAAAATAAAGTATTGTACAGGATTTTGAAAATTGAGTTTTAAAATGTGTTGTGTTCTATAGAAAACTTGGCACTGAGGGATCAACATCTGAAATCATCTGAAAAATTGTGGGAGCAAATTTCGAATTTCAAAGTTTATAAACATTTTCTTGAATTCGTGTTTTCTCCGAACTAGAAACATTATCAGACGTTGTAAGTTCTGAATCGGAAAATTTCGGTTTTTCTATAAGTCTAAAGTTGAAAAACGGCAATAAATAGCATTCTAAAAATTCTCTCCGCACAACCAGCACAAAATAAATTAATTTTAGACTGATTTTGGAAAAAAAAAACATTGTATCTTCAATTTCCCGGTTTCTTTGGTTCTAGGATTTTCAGAGTTCGAAGGATTTGTACAATTCGAAACTATATTTTCAAAAACCATAACTCGCATCGAAATCAAATTCTGGAAATTCAGTGAAAAACTCGGTAGTGTTAATTCAGTGAAATTTCACAATTTCATTGATATTCTTAAAGGAGCAAGAACGAACTACCATATTTTTTGTAACCTACTTTTAATATTATTTCCCATTTTCTAAATTTTTCGATGATTCTCACCTTTTTTAATATAAATCGGAAAAAAAGAACCAAAATTATAAAAATCATTGAGAAAACGGAAAAATATCGTCAAAAATTGAGAAAATAGGAAAAAAAAAATTTAAAATAGACTCAAAAGATACCCTCTTTTGCCTTTGAGAAAAATTTAACGAGATATCCGCTCTCAAAATGCATTGGTTTCGGACAAGAGTAAGAAAGGTAAGACATTTTTTGTAGGAATTCTGCAACCCAACTAGTCCTCCATTTTTATTCGAAATTGTGTGTTCAGCTTGTTTCACAGAACCTCCCATTCCATGCATCTTATTTTTCCATAATTCGTTATGTTTTCTATGCACCAAAAAACCAAAATGTAAACCAAATATATATTTAAATTAAAAGAAAAATATGAGTATCAATTCAGAATTGGTTTCAGGGCGAGCCAATTTCCAAATGAGCACAAATATGATTCTTTGAAAATAAAAGGTACATAATATATGTAAAAAATGAAAGAACAAAATTAAAAGAGGTGGGACAACAAAAGAAAAGTTTGGTACAGTTTGGGGGTGAAATTTTCATTAAGCTCATCTTGTGGATGCGTAGTTAACCGGGTAATTTTGATCATGAGTTCAAATAACTTGAAAACTTTCTTTGATGTCCCACCACCTTCAAAACACAATCGTTCGTATTTCAGAGAAAAAAAAGAAAGAACTGGGTGAAAGAGAAGAATCATTGAGGACAAAAATATAACAAAAGGAGCACCAAGTAGAGATAGTGATAGCAATGAAAATAAAGAGACCCAGTTTTTTGTATAAAATAAAAATCAGAATTCCTTTACAATCGATTGAATCACATTCAGCCCGCTAAAATTATACATCGAAATTGTTGAAAGAATTTGTGTGTTGAAAGTGACTTTTTGTGCGTGTTTCAATTTAATATGAGAAGTTGCTTTTCTTGATTTTTTTTCAGTTTTTTTTCAAATGTTTTCAGTTGTTTTTTGATGATGATGTTACAATTCAACCAATTCAAAAATTCTATACAATTGAAAAATATTACCCCTAATATATGAATTGAGCGTGAAGTGTTTTTTGTTTCTGATTCCTACGAAGAAGACTTCTTCTTCTTCTCGTAAGTGAGCAAATGATAAAAGAGCATTAATAAGGAGATGTTCGCAATTGCCAATAGAATCGGAATGCGCCATCGAACCAGCCATGCCTGAAAAAAAAGAAATTCTTAAAGGGACTTTTCGGAGTTTCTTAGGCTCCAGTTTAGCCCACTTGGTTCAACTCCTCGAGAGTCCACAAAATTCTGAGACAGTTTTTTTCCTGTCCCCTCCCCCAACCTTCAAACTTTTTGTTGAGTTTTTTATTCTCCGGAAATTCACTTGAAAACGGATAAGAGAGACCCGTCACATAAAACTTTTTTGAGAAATGGGGGAAGAGGAGAAAAATGAAGATGGAAGCAGATGGGATTAATTTACGAAATGGACTCTCTTGAGAAATGTGAAAAGAAATGGGAAGAGGGGAAAAAATATGTATAGTTTATGATCCAAAGTTTTATGAGAATCCGGAAATATTAGTCGCGCAATGCATTTCATAAAAATTCTCATATTCCAAAGTGAAGAATCTCGAATTGTTGGAAATTTTAAACTGTCTTATCCAAAATTCTACAAATTCAAAAATATAAGTGAATTTCCGAATCAAGAAGTCCAAAACACGAAGATTCTACACCCCGCATAACGGGAAAGCTGCAATAGAACGGTTCTTAACTTTTAAATGTGAGCCATTTTTCTCAGTTCCAGTCAAAAGTATAACAAGTGGTCAACTTATAAACTGTTTATAAGAATATCAGAAATAATTTATCAGTTGACAATTTTTTGATAAATATCTCACAGGAACCAAGAAAAATTTACTCAAAAATTTACAGTTGACGGTTTATGGACCTTTCTATCACAGATTTTACAAAGATTTTTCAGTCTTTCATGATACGAAATCAGTGAGAATCGAGTCACAGATATCACTAAGAAATTGAAATTTCTTAACTCAGCGGGTTCTTGATAATTCAACACTGTAATTTTTGATCCTGAATTCTGTTAGTTTCCTAAATCTATAGGATACCTCAAGTCAATAAAGTCAAGTTCATGCCAAAAGGTAGAATTCAAAATTTCGAGATTTTCTAGATTTTTTATCAGACGCCAATACCCCTTCAACACAATGTCTGGATTTTCATTTTTGAAATTGAAACTCACTCTAAAAGCCGGTTGCAGAAAATGTCGAAGTGGATTTGCTCTGAGTAGCGCCGCTTCTTCGTGTTCGCGTAGCACTTCTTGGCGACGTTGTCCAGCGAGACGGGCGGCTTCTTCTCTTCGCAATCTCACCTGGAAGAACCATTCCTTTCATTTTCAGATCCCAAATTCAAATCTTTACCCCTTGCGTTTCAAGTTCCGCTAGATTGGGCAGACTTCCCATATTGTCACCATCACTACCACTGACAGCACTCAGCTTCGCAGCGTGAGCACTTCCGATAGCTCCCGGATGGTTGACATCACCATTTCGATCTCGTGCCGAGGCAAGAGTCGACCTTCGATTGAGTCCGCTCGATGCTCCTCCAGCCTGCAAAAAGAGATCCCCCGTTTCGAATCGATTCAGTTTCATCACTCCGGAATCCGCTCTTTCGGGTCCTCGTCTACTTTACACTACAACTAATATGTGAGGCAGGAAGCGAAGGAGTACCAGATAGAAGAAGAAAAAGAAGAAGATGAAGCAAAGTATCTATTGAGAGGGTGGGAGAGTGTTCATCCTTCTCTTTCCTCCAGATATACTACTTTGTCTCATATGCTCTTCTTCTTCTTCCTCTTCTTGTTCTTCTTCATAAAACTCTCAACCGAAACGTACACAAGACTCGTTGACATCCGCCTGTCTCATGAGCGATGGACGATTGCGGCGAAGCTTCTGCTGTTGCTGTTGCTGATTTCCGCCGGCCATCACATATTGGTCATAATGGTCATCACTGGAATGGTTCTAATTGGTACTTTGAATCTAGATGAACACCAACCTCAATGAGAACCTAGAAGACATCACATTCGGTGCCTGCGCATTCAGATTCGAAGGCCCAGGTTGACTGAGATTGGTCTGCGGTTGGAGGATCAACGGTTTCTCTTCTTCTTGAACAACGGAAACCGATGGAATTGATGGATCGTTTATGGGAATGTTGTGTGGTTGCTGAAGGAGATCTTGAGAGTTCATCGGGGTCTGAAGTTGAGAGTTCGGGTCGGAATTGTAGCCGTATTGGGGCAGAAAATTGACATGGTTCTGGTTGGATGGGCCTACGTGGTTGGCATAGGGGTTTCGCGATGGAGGTGTCATGTCATCGCCCATGTCAACAGATAGTGTCTGAAATATAGATACTTTATCGGTATGCGCTTGACAAAGTTTTTGGATTTTGGCTGAAACTTTTTTGAAAATCTTTAATTTTCCAAGGGACTACAAGGAGAGTTGGAAATATACTGTAAACACTCGAATAGAACGCCACCCCACTTTTAAATTTGAACCAATTTATCTAGGTTCCTGTGAAAGATATCGAACATTTGTCGACTGATAAAATATTACGATAAATGTGTTATCAGTTAACAAAATTTTGATATCATTCTCAGGAATCGAGATAATTGAGCTCAAAGTTGACGGTTTGCGTGAGATTCTATTAGACAAAAAATGGTACAACGGCCAACTTTATTAATCAAGGACTGTAATCTACAATATGTAAACTTGAACTATTTCAGAATTACATTTTCGAGTTTTCAAGTATTGGAATAACGACCAATTAGAAATTGAAAAGTAATGAACGGGCAATGAATTTTAAATAAAACCATGGAACATTACTATTTTAAATTTATATTTTCCTATCACAAATCCCTACAAATCTTCAAAAAAGGTGCTCACCTGCTCAAAGGAATGTTGTTTACTATGCGTTTGTGAAAGATGCCTTGAATAGGAAATGGCATCTGATAGATCAGTTCCAAACGATTCTCCTCCATTGTTGTCCTTCAATAACCGTCGCGTACCAGGCTGCTTAAAACTTGGATCGAACTGCTTTGCATGGATTCTGGCAACTTCTGAATCCTCGTTCGCTTGTCTTGAGATGAATGTTGCTTGTTCACTTCGTTCCCTTGCTGTTGACGTCCTGCTCGCAGCGATATCAGCCTTCTGTTGTGCAATGCTAGCAGCTCGGATCGCGGTTCCCATTGCCTGTTCCAACTTTTCCCGAAACTTTGAAGCTCTCATGAAAATGACTCCTTTCCTTCTAGAAGAAGCGATCAGAATGTTGTTCTTGTATCGTCCCTCTTCCTTGGTTCCATCCTTAAAAGTTGTCACTCCAAAGCCACATTTCGCATTGTTCGCCCATTCTCCGTGATATCTGAAGCATTTTTGCTTTTTTTTGTTGTTCTTTGTTTCTCTCTTTCGAAAAAATTCTAATAAAACTACTCACTTGAGTCCGTCACTTCTTTCGCACACTCCAAAACCACTACGCATGTCGTTCTTCCACTCGCCCATGTACGTTTCTATAGCGCTCTCCTCAACGGCTTCTTCTTCTGGTTGTTGTAGTCCGTGATGATGAAGTGAGTCTTCAGAAGTGCAACTCATCGTTGAGCCACTCGATCGAAGACTTCCGGTCATTGATGCAACACGTTGATGGATGTCTCCAGTGGAATGTTGTTTCTTGATTCGGAGGCCAGACAACAGAGTTCTTTTCACGGCAAGACTTCGTTCCGACAGGGATCGTCGTCGTCGTTGTGGAGCTGCCGAGTTGGCACGAAGTACAAATCCTCCACGGCCGGATAGTCCTTCTTCTGAAAAATATTTTAACTTGAGTGGGATCCAAATTTTTTGAGAAATCATTAAACTTCGAAAAAAACTCACTATGCCTGTGCTCTTCAGCATTTTCCTCTTCCACTCGACCACTTCTTAAACTAGTCAGTGAAGCATGAGTCTGCGATTTTGATCGAAATTTAGCTGCATTCGCATAGGTGGCACTTTTTCGGATACCGTAACCATGTCGCATTCCTCGAAGCCATTGTCCTTGGTAACTTCCTGAATATAAGCATGGATCAGTAAAGTTTTTGAGTAAAAGTCACTTACCTAGATCCACATAAATTTCCGTTCCATATCCGTCGTGAAATCCAGCAGACCAGGTGCCCTGATACCTAGCCTGAGAACTTGCCGACTGTCGTACTCCGTATCGTCCTTTGTAGCCTTGTGTCCATTCTCCTCTAAAAATTATTTTTGTTAAGAGTTGGAGAGCATTTCAAGAATCAAAATTTGAAAACAGACTTAAAATCAAATATCGTACTTCCTCTAATAGAAGCCCATCCCAAACCGTCAACTTTGAGCCCATTTATCTCGTTTCCTATCAAAGATACCAAAAAACAAAAATGTGTACCAATATATTATTAGTTGACAAGTTTTTGATACTTTTACAGAAATCGAGATAATTGATCTTAAGGTTGACGGTTTCGGTGGGCTACTTTTAGAGGTAACCTATTAAAAACGACGACATAGAACTTCACTGTCTCTATCCAATCCGGGATCAAAAAAAAATTCAAAAAACAGCCCAAAAGTCAAAGAGGTACTGTAAATTTTAATCCAAAAACTCCCACACAAGTTAATTAGAGGAAAAAATGTGTATTGAGAGATTACAAAGCTTTTGAATGTTTTTGTATTCAGCTAGTATTAAAAGAAGTTGAGAGACCATTTGAGGCAAACATCTACAGTAACCCTAACTCACTTGTACAACCATCTGCCCCGCTGCTCCACACCAAGACCGTGTCGTTTCCCATTCTGCCACTGTCCCTGATAGGTGTTTCCAGACGGCCACGTGTACACACCAGACACTTCGAAACCGTAGTGCCAAGCTCCGGCATATTCGCCTTTCGCCTGTGGACCAGTGCATACTCCGTGACCGTGTGCTTTTCCTTCTTCCCATCCGCCTACATAGGTTCCGCCGTCGTCAAAGTCAAATCTGCCTCCATTCATTTCCCATTTGCCGTACTGCTGACACACCTACTGTCTAACAAACACAAATCTTGACCTGGAAATATGAAATCTTGCATTTGAAGGCTAAGATAATTCGAACAATGTGAAATTCAGAGATCCAAATACGCAATTTTGAAAGTTAAACGGTTTAAAAATGTCAGAAAAAGTTAAAAAATAAAAACGAACGGATATGGATGATGATGGATCAATAGACTGGAATAGACGGAGAGTATAGGAAGGAGAGATGCTCGTGCGCTGAGCTCTTACCGAGAGCTCTCACTATTTTCTCTGCGGCTTCTCCCTCTGCGTTTCGAGCCCAGAGGAAGAGAAAAAGGAGAGAAGGGACTCTGCGGGGAAGGGATGACTGCCTGGTTTCTTCTTCTTCTTTCTCGGGACGCACAAATACACACTCACTCATTGAGTGAAAGACGTAGTCGCTTGACTGCTCCTTCTCTGTCTGTCTCTTCTTTGATAGAAAACGAAAAAAAGAAGAAAAAGAAGAAGAAGCAGTAGAAGGAGACATTGAAAAGAGCCTGCGCTTTTTTCTTCGGCTCCTTTCCAGCCAGCAGGTGCCCTTACAGGAGCTGAAAAGAAAAAGAAGAAGCGAAGAAAACAGGACGACGGGGGAGGAGAGGGCGGAATTGAATTTTTTGCTTTTTCGTCGTCGTCGTCGTTGAAGACGTCGGATTCCTTCTTTTTCTTTTTTCGGAATGAAGGGGGAGAGTAAGGGAAGTGTCAGAAGGACGAACAGATTCTATAAAAAAGAAAATTGAGGAAGAAGTGATTGACAAATGAGACATGAAATGAATATGTGGTGGGGTGGCTCTCAGGATTTATTGGACTATTTCATGAAGCAATATTAGAAAGTGGGGATCAGAAGAATATATGAGATAAGCCAGGAAAATCAAAACGATTCAGAAGATGTCGAAAAATTTTTTGGGGGATCAGAAAAAGAAGAGATCGAAGAAGAAATCCGGAGAAGAGTTCAAAGGTGGGAGGGGAGGAAGGGAGAAAACAAAAGGGCGAGCTTTCGGGAGAGTTGATGAAGAGGATCTTAGATTCAATGTGCAAGAAGATGGCGGTAAGGGGAAGGCTTTCGGGGGCAATGTGAACCTGGGCAAAACGAAGGGATTGGGAGAGTTTGGAGAAAGAAAAAGCGGGAAAAAGGGGCCCCCGATTTTTGTTTAAAGTCAGTTGCACACTCACTCCCGTCGCAAAGGCTCACACTCTCACAAAACAGAAGAAGAAGAGGAGAGGAGGAGGTACTTGAGAGCTCCCGGGGAGCCGCCGCCGCCGCCGCCGAGGATGCCGCTACCGAAAGGAAGATGCCGAAAGATGGGTAAAACCAAGGCTGTGCCAGAACGGCCGCAGCACTTCAAAAAAGGATACTTCTGAGAAAGGTAGGGTACGGCGGCCTATCGGCCCTTGTAGTTCCTGGGTAGCTGAGCTTATTTTCAAAAAAAAACGGCCGGATTGGTCCACGGCAAAATACCCACGGCCTCGGCCGCGGCCGATTTTCGCACAGCCTTAGGTAAAAAAAAACTATATGTGAAGTATTAGGATAAACCAAGAAAAAAAATGAATATGTGTATTCGTTTAATGAGTATCTCGGCGGGATAGGGCTCAAAGAAAACAATTCAGGTCTCGAACTATTTAGTGCTTGCTTAAAGAAAGTCTACCAACTGATCGATCCACTATGGAAACTGATCGATCCACTAAAGGATCAACTATGGATCCATGGCAATGACAAAATAAATAAAAAAACCCATAGAAGCTTCAGAAGCGCGCCAGACCAGCTGGGAATACTAATAAATATACGAAGTAAGATGCAAAGGAAGGGACACACGGATTGGAAGAAAATGAGCTAGGGATGGTAGCCACCAGGAGAGGAGTTGCTCTCGCTCTCGCGCGGCTTTATTTGCTCATAGATATCCTCTCTCCCTAGTCTACTTTTTTGCTATTTCTTTTTGCTTCATTTTTAGCTAGTCTTCTCGCGAGATATATATCTTTAGATTATTGTTTGTCATCAGCATCATAATCATTTATAAAGCAACAAAAAGAAGATCTGCAGAACTGAGAGAGCAAATTGTCAAGTTATGAGTTGCGGACACGGAAATAGTGTGAGAGACGAAGAGACGCAGAAAACGAGTCAGGCAGACATTATCCAATGGAATCGGATCGGGTAAAGGAAAGTATCCAAAAGATCACAGAGAAAAATTTTTGATTTAAAATCATTTCGAAATCCAAGTTTTGAGTGCTGCCAACTTATATTTTTTAAAATCATATCTTATCTATGTGGGGGTTTACGGTTTTTTTCCGGAACTTTTTTGTTTTCAATTTTTTTCCACTGATTTTTTATGGAATGCAGGCATCGCTGAGTATCGACTCAGCAGTTAAATTTAAAGCCTTCGCGTCGAGACCAAAGCTAGTTTTACCGTAGTATCAGGTTATCCGCATTTGAGAGCATTTGCACGACATACCCGAAAAATACAGTGATATTGATTTGAAAAATTAGACTATGAGGAGTTGTCAAACCAATGAAGAAGGTAAAACTCCAAGCTAAACCTGGGGAATAATTTTTCAAATAGGTTTCCAACCGAGCTAATTTCAAATACCGTAAAAACTAATACATTCGACTCCGTGATTTTATCCTTTGAGCCAATTTATCTCAGTTCCTGTGAAAGATACCAAAAAGTTATCAACTGACCTAATGTTTAAAATTTTATCAAAATCATGTTGACTATTTTTAAATATTATTAGACAAACTAAAATAAATAAGTCAAAGTTTTGAAATGGTTTGGGAACCAAGAACTTTAAATTTGACCCGATTTATCTGGGTTCCTGTGGAAGATATCAAAAACTTGTAAACAGACAAAATATTTCTGATGTTATGATTAACATTTTGTTAGTTTCCCATTTTTTGATATCTTTGACGCGAAATGAGATATAAGGGCTTACACTATTACGGTTTGAGCGCATTCTATTAGAGTGTTGAAGATCAATTCTTAGCAGAGTTTTTTAAAGGCGAACCAACAGTAAAAATCACAAATCTTACAATTTTGTCATTTGTTTCATCCCTACATAGAGTTTGAAAAATCCAAAAAAACGGTCAGTAGTTAAAGAAATCGACAAATCTCTATAATATTTTTTTAAGTTCCATTTTATACTTTTGCCGAAGGCAGAAGTTTTAAAAATTAGGTTTCCTGATTCAGTCGGTATCAAAACGTCACCATCAAAAAAAAACCCCAGACAACAAATTTCTTTGAGCATTACCTAATTAGACACCGAAAGAGTATCATGTTTAGAGAAACTAGATACTCTTACAAACCCGCTCTGTTGACAATTACTTTCTTTGTCAATAGACCGAACATTCCTCGAGCACCATGATTCTCTGATCCTAGAAGCCAAAATGGTTCCACCTGCATGCTCAATTGGGGGTTCTAATTATTTGGGGAACACAGATTCAGAAGATGAAGGAGATGAAGAAGAAAAAGAAGAAGAAAAAGAAGAAGAAGAAAGACGACGTAAAACAGAATCACCTCATCCGTGACGCGACACGCCAAAAAAATGCGTTGCGGAGGTCCTTCGAAGTGAATATAAGCAAAGTAGAAGGGCTCCGCGCGTGAAAGTTACAGATTGAGAGACGCAGAGAAGAGGGTGGTAGGCAGAGCAATGAGCTGTGAGAAAAAAAAATAGAAGAAGAAGAAGAAGAGTTTGGTTGTCGTCGTTGTTGCCTGCTGTCGACCTAATCTCTCTGGATCTGATGGCGGAAAAAAAGAAGAGCAGAAAAAAAGAAGAAGAAAGCTGTATTGCTCTTTTTGACTGCTTTTTCTTCTTCTTCTTCCTCTCCCAGCTTCTCCACACAATTACACTATTCATATCACTTTTTGACGTCGCTTTTTTGCTCTTCTTCTTCTTCTTCTTCTTCTTCTTCTCTCTCAGATGCCTCTAGTTTTCTAATGTGGCGCCCCTTTTGCACTGAAAGAAGAAGAAGAAGAAGCGGAAGAGAGATGATGGACATCCAGATACAAAGAAGAACACGAGAAGAAAGAAGAAGAAAAAAGAGAGAAAGTGAGAAACTTAGAAAACAAAGAACGAGTAATCTTCGGAACGATCAAGATGGTGGGTGTTGTGTAACGGAAATGAAGTGTGGACGGGTGGATTCTGGAATGATATGATAGAGTGGGATGATAGAAGAATTGTGGTGTTAATCCAAAAAAAAGAAGGATTAGCGGTTATACGAACCACAAAAAAAGGGATTAACGGCCTGGTACATGACTAGGAAAAGTGAAGTCGATATGGAATCGAAGAAGCAACGATTTTCGTCTGGAGAGATTACAGTTTTTGTGAGAGAAAACATTTTCTGAGACGGATGTCATAAAAATTCAAACTCTGGAGGAAAATTCGGAACTGTTCCTTTGTTTTTTAATCCATCTAAAAGTAAATGATAATACCGTATTTCCTCTAATTGAAGCCAGTCCCTAAACCTGCAATTTTTATCTTAATTATCTGGATTGATGTAGAAGATATCAAAAATTTGTCAACTGATAAATTATTTATCAAAATATCCCCTATGTGTTATCAGTTTACCCCTTTTTATATCTTTCACAGTAATCGAGGTAATTGAGCTCAAAGTAGACGGTTTGTGTGGGTTTCCAGAGGAAATACGGTTGACGCATGTTGAAAGCTGAAAGATTTTTTAGACTGTAATACGGGCTTGTAAGTATGGAAATTTCAAGTCTGCTCATTAGAAAAATAAATGATTATGATATCGAATTTCGTAACTAAATCTTACGAAACTCATAGATTATGTGAGCATTATTCTCTCGAAAAATATCTTTCGAAATTTGTGTTCAATTGAAGTATGGCTAATAACTCGGTGAAAATTATTTCACCTCTGGGTTACTGTATATCGAATTCAGTGGATGTTTTCAGAGAAATAGGTATTATTTTGGTACGAAAAATCGGAGCTGTGGAAAAGAAACGCCGGTGGTCGTGGCCGAAGATCCCACAACGACAATTACAGTAACCTAAACATATTTTTATTTTCCATATTCGTCGAAAAAGTGAGAGTAGTGAGAAATAAGACAATTTTCAGTTATTTTTCTCCAAAAAAAGTTGGAAAATTAAAATTTTCGATAGAAAAAAAATGGACAGAAAACTCACGAAAGTCAAATTGATGAATCCGGAAAACAGAAATATTATTATGTTACGGTAGTTGTCAGTGTGGGAACTGCTCCAATTTTTGTACCAGAATAATCGTCTGCGGGTTCAAAACAATGATTAGAAATTTTATTATGGTCTGAACTAGAAAACCTAAAATTTAAAAATATTCTCATGGTGGTTCTTTGATCAGAAGATCATGATGGGTACAAAAAACACGAGAATCTTCGCGAGAAGAAAAAAAAGATTCGCATATCCGTTAGCCGATCTTTCCATTCATCTGGCATTCATTCCCGTGGGTTCCCCTCAAATAATGTTTGCTCTCTCGAGAAGGAGGTGGAGCTCATTGGCAAAGAGGTCCATCGTCTCAAATTTTAAACAGAGAAGAAACCACTTGTTTGAATACGAAAATATTTATTATGAACCAATAAATTATATTTCTCCCCAACACGATGGGGGCTACACAGTCGAAACATTGGGGATTGGGAGTTAATAAAAAAAACAAAATGCTGATTATAGAAAAATTAATGAGAATGCAACAGTTATGAATGAACGATAACACTTATTTACACGAGATCCGGGACCAGCAGGATTGGTTACAGCGGAATTTTATCGTTTCAGTTTTCCGCGGTACTGGTCGCCGGTTCTGAAGTTTCCCCTTCGCCCTTGCGGAGAGCACGGCACAGATTCTCGAGCATTTGAATCTTCTTGTTCGAGGCTAGGATCTTTTCGATGTACTCTTGATTTTCCATGGTTAATACCAACACCTTCCTGAAAAAAAGTACATATTTTGATGAAAGAGTTTCCTATCACTTACTGGTTAGCCTGTTCAAACTTCTTCTTGGTCGAAAGATTATCCTTCTCAATCGTAAGACACTTTGAGTTTACTCTGTCGATCTCTTTCTTAAATTTATCAAACGCTTCATTGCTTTTCGACAGGCAACTGGTCAACTCTGAATACTTGTCAGAATACTCCTTAACTTGATCACGAAGCGCCTTCTCCGTTTGCAAAGCTCCACCAACACGGGCGGTCTCCTCCAGCATGATCCTCGCCAGTTCGTCCTTCTCCATTCCAGCTTTTCTGACTTGGATTGAAGACGCATCAAGTTTAGCTTGAAGAAGCTTTATCTCAAGATCCTTGGCCTTTCCAAACTCTTCCCAATACTTTTCCTTCTTCTGCATTTGTTGATCAACCACATTCATTCTCTCCTCATATTGCTGCCCAATTTCAATGAACTTCTCACTGAGCTTCTTATTGTCTTCCGACAATAAATCAGACTTGGCTCTTCCCTCAGTCATGGTCTTTTCAATGTCCTTGAGAGTTATCTTAAGTTGCTCCACAGCTTGAGCTCTCTCTAATTCGAGTTTTTTCATCTTAGTAATCGACTCATCACGGGTCTGCTGGTTCGCTTTTTGAAGACCACGGCATAGTTCTTCCAATTTGCTCTTTGCCTCTTCAGTACGGAGAAGAATCTGCAATGATTCGCTGAGATTTGAAAAAAAGAAGATATTTCCGATGAAGAGAAAAAATTGGGGGTGGTGTGGCGGTCAGAATGTGCTATCGAAACAAAACAACTTGTAGAATTGAGTCTGGAGTCAGGTGGTATGACGTAAGCATAGGGTTCGAACTTCTGTAGTATGCTGTTGCGCTTTATTGAGAAGGTGAAGTGGCGAAATTTTAGGGCCGTGAAAAGTTAATTTTGAGGTCGAAACTCAACTAAAAATTTTTCGAAATTTGAATTTTTGACGGCCTAAAACTTTCTCATTGAAGCGAAACAGCATACCACAGCCGTACAAACGAGACCCCGCAAATTCCGGAGAAAACATTTTCAGGGGAAAAAAACTCCGGAGAAAAGTGGGGCCCTTCCCAACAGTTGCGCATCCTGAATGGCGAATGGCGCCTGATGCGGTATTTTCTCCTTACGCATCTGTGCGGTATTTCACACCGCATATGGTGCACTCTCAGTACAATCTGCTCTGATGCCGCATAGTTAAGCCAGCCCCGACACCCGCCAACACCCGCTGACGCGCCCTGACGGGCTTGTCTGCTCCCGGCATCCGCTTACAGACAAGCTGTGACCGTCTCCGGGAGCTGCATGTG